AACTAGACGCTCGATTCCACGTGGAACCATCCGATCGTGCACAAATAGAAGTGATTGTTAGAAAGCGGGTTCCCGAGTGTGGACGCTCATCGATGCGTATTTCAACCCAGCGATGCGAGATAAAGCGACCACTTGTAGTTTCTGACAGTGGAAATCGACTGGCGGAAGCGATATGGCATCCATTAGACTTTAGTAAAGTTTCGTCTCTTTGGGCTCTATCCGGCTCTCTGCTCTTGAGCTTCGTAGCTGCACCTGTCTCGCTTGAATGTTCTGGTGTGAGCTTGGAGGTGGCTCTGAGGCTGCGAATGCTGCAGCTAGCTGCTCTCCATGCTGCATGTCGCAATGCGGTGTTTGCCGAGGTGCTCAGGCCATGTACTCAGGAGAGAGGTTTCGGTTCCAGGCATGCTGTATCTGGCCTTCCAATTGGGAGACTCATTGACGGTGTAATGGATCAGGATCTAAACTAGCCCATTCTACAAGACACTGCATTCGCATGTCCAGGCTGCTGCAGGATGCGATGATGATTTTCACCGATGGGTCCCGTGGCCTGCCGCCGCGGGACGGCACAGTTGCAGGTGGACCTCGCCCGTGCTTTTGAGAGACTGGTGATGCTAATCGTGTCTGAGCACTGCGGCTCAATAAGAAACGATGAACCTGGCAGGACTGGCTGCAGTGCCGCCCAATCACCTTCTTCACCAGTAAGACGGAATTCAGACTTCTCCCGCCGTTCATCCTGTCGGGTGCGTGGCTACTGGTCACTCACAGGTACGAGCAGCTTTTCGGATGTGAAGCTCGCCTGACCGAACATTAGCATACACCATACCGCTCTGCTGCGGCAAGGGTTCTCACAGCAAATTCATGCGCCCGGCAGGCTTGCATGCTGCAGTAGCCGCCAATTAGCAAGTGCTGTCATACTTGAGATGATGCCGGGGTGCCATGAACTCCGACAGCCAGGCCTCGTAGGTGATGGATTGCACCATGAAGCTACGACCTTCCAACCCGGTCCTGCTCAGTGCCATACCAAAAGTAACACACTTCTTCCTTACCGTGTCTGTGCAATCGGTCACACCTATAACTTAGCCTATAACTCCAAGGCAAGACCCGATTAGCACATCCTGACAAACAACACCTCGTAATTCTTGCTTGTCTAACCAGACAGATGCATGCAGGCAAATGCACTCATCTCTTCAGCTCTACACATTATGGAGCATGGTCCTCTTCGCATCTACAAAGTCCTTGGCCTGTTGCCAAGCAGACGCCTGAGGTTCGAGGGTGCTTGCAATCATGCACAAATTAGCCCTAATGGCTGTTTCCAGTCACTGCAGATGTCAAGTCTCGCTTGCAACTCGATGTTCTTACATGCCGCCTTAGATGCCTTTCTGTAGCCAAGCAGAGCTGTGCAAGAACCGGGGCTGCTGTTGCAACGCGAGAGAAATCGGATTGGGGGCGAGATGGGCCAGGAAGGGAGTGAAGGTGCCTGCGAGTCTGAACCATCAGCAGGATTGCGTGCAGCACGGGCCTGGATGTAGGCCAGGGAGACGTGTCCATCCTGATGCCATGGAAGTGCGAGGTGTTCGCCCCTCTGGCAGACAGCACATAGTAAGGCTCTGACGCTGGTCGGATAGGGATCATGGCTTCGCCTTAGTTTCAGCGAATGCAGCGATGGATGCTCAGGGATCGTGTCTGCGGAGCAGACCCTAGGTTCGGCACCGAGCATGCTCGTCCGGCTCTCCTTGCAGCCAGGCGTCCTCAGACCAACAAAAGCACCCGTGTTGAGCATGTTTCGCTTGGCATATGAGGGTTGACGTGGGGCCCTCATGACAGTCCTTAAGAGCTCGAAGACCAGGAGACTCGAAGGCTACTCCTGCCAGGATTTTACACTTGCAGGTCAACAAGCAGTTGTCCAAGACATGCTCTCCAATATTTTTCGGGGTCATGCACACTGTGACAACACTTTCAGCAGACGGCTTCTAGAATCCTGAGCATGGGTGGAGTCGGAGCAAAGATCACAGGCCGTCCACAGCGAGAAGTTTGGATCCCGCTCCTATGCAGTAGACCTCGGCGTCCCTGACACATGTTTCCACGAGCCAGCTACAACCCGGTACAACAACGAACAAGCAAGGTGCCGCGATGCAAACGGTCCGGGCACTGGTCAATGCATAATTACGGTACCGTGCATCTTAGGCCAGACATTGGCAGCATGCCATCCTGCAAAACTCCGACAGATTTTGCCGCAGAGCCTGATCCGATCAACACGGGAGAGAAAGAGCTCCTTCACTTTCAACTCGACAGGCGCGGAGCTACCACACACCTCCGCTCACAGCGTGGCTGGAAAACTCTCACGTACCGCTGCTATGCCGTTCGAGAATCGGTCCTCGAGTCATGCCTCTATCCGCAACTCAAGACATCCAGATATGAACCCTTCATTCGTCAAGCAGATTTCCGAGAGTGAAATTCGGCTAAATTCGCAGGTGTTGAACAAACGACTGGACGTCGCGACGGCCTGCTCAAGGCGGTCCAAGTGGTCCATCTTCTTCATGCGAAGAGCAAATGTGACATGAAGCCTTCCAAAGTTCACGCTACACGTAGGCATGTTCTTCCACCGAGCGCAGCTCTCGAAAAATGGACGAAACAGTGCCACGACCGACTTGGCCGCGCCTTTCCAGCCAAGGTTTGCCACCATGGCTGACGTCGAGCCATGCTGGTGGCACCTGAAGGCAACGGCATCATATGGCATCATAGTCTGCCTCACTGTCAGATCCCATGTCTCCAGGGCAGGATGGATGTATTTTACCGGTTCTTCGTGGCTTTGTCCCGGACCCTGCATGACATATCCAGATTAACCGTCAATACGAGTCGATGGCAAGTACCGGTAGCCATGGGACCTCATTGTAGATCGCCGCGATTCCAAGCGGATCTCCTCCACCCTTAGTCCGTCACACTGGTCACGATCAGTATGTGGCATGCCAGCAGCGTGACACAACCTTGCATCTCCGGTACTCGTAGAATTTTCCGTTCCCGCAGCATGCTCCATGCTGTCTTCGCAACGCAACATGTGTAGTTAAGTATTGTGTCCGATCCGATTGAAGGCACCTTTTGCCTTGCTGCGACAGCATGAAGGCCTAAGCGGCGTTTCCGTAAAGCTATGGGCTCAGGAAACCGCCTATGGCGATCCGGAGAAGAGCGTTAACATCATCGGCCAGAAGGACGGCTTTTGGGGCTGCCTCCAGAAGCTCACTGGCTCAGCCAAAACAGTGTGCAATGATGTGCAAGTTTGATATTTGTACAAGCATGGGATTGAAGAGATATGGGCATTGAACATCGGGGGAGGTACTGTATCACACACATACACACACAGAGAGGGGGAGAACGCTCAGCAGTTCAAAGGTGGGCGATCCTCCGATCCTCCCCGAGCATGTCATGAACGTCAGCTTGGCTGAGCCGTTCAAAGGAGTTACTGGGACAGGGGCGCAGGCGCCTCACGCGAGGGCGTTCCACGAAGGCTTCGTGCCTATCAGCTGCGGAGCTTCTGTCTGGGCGAGGGAGGAACCATGACACTAGGCATCACTACGCCTCACAACCAAAACTACCTTTCATCCCACAAAACTGGGCCTTCTTTGCCTTGCGCTTCTTGGCACGCCGGAAGGTAGCCAGCACTGCTTTGCGAACCAACGCATGTTCCTTCAAGACCACTGAGCATTCGATTCGATCCTTCTCCATCGGGCCGCCTGATGCGAACGACCCTCTGTACGTCTGGCCTCGTGCGAATTCTCGTAGTGGTCCAATGTCCTGAGCTTCTTGACAGTTGGATCGGCAGAAGCTGTGGAATCTGTGGAAATTTTCCTCTACTACCTGCTTCAATAGATGCTCAGAACCCTTTGCCAAGTGGCTGGAGAGCATGGAAATCGACCTCGCAGCCGTACTTCATGAGCCAGTTGCGCCCATCTTCCTGAAGCAAGACGAACTGCCATGCTGGAAATCATTCCAGCAGTGCAGGCGTGGAACACACGTGACATACTGGGCAAAATAAAGAAGATGATGGGAGGCGGGTCCAAGCTTTCTTCGATTCTTGTGTGACGCACATCTCTAAACTACATTTGATATCAAAGAGTCGACTCTACCATACAGAGGACATGTGTACAAGTGCACCACTCCTGATTCGCAAGCAGGTAGACGTCATCCAGAACTCCAGCCGTCATCAAGACCTGTGCTCGACAGCATGCCGTCTTCTGCGCTACAAGAGACCCCCCCCCCCTTCTATGCCCCTGAGGCAGCAGCCCGAGGCTTGGCCGAGGGTGAATTGCACGCGCGCTTCGTCACTTTCTCGGCACCTGCAAGCTCCAAACTCACAGCTCCGGAGACGGCTCCCAGAAAAAACCCGTGCCTGGAGGACTGCTCTGAGGCTGTCCCACCGAGACATCCCCCACCACGGCATCGTGGCGGTCCATCCTCAGCTTCTGGAAAACACCCCTAGATCCTTCGGTCCGAGGTGCATAGCAGAGATCCTCTGACATCAGCTGACTAGCTACTCAGACTCGCTTTTTTCTGGTGACACGAATGCGGGTATCCGCGGCCCAAGTCGCGTCTGCTTCATCAGCATGCCGCGCTGCGAGATCACGAGACCCAGGTCGAAGGGAAGAGCCAAACCAACTTCCAAGGAAATGCAGCCTCCTGACACGAGGACAAAACGACGATAAACATGGAAAAAGAGAGCCCTTCGTTTGGAAGAGTCGAGGAGTTCAGGACTGCCAGCAGTTCAGGGAGAACATGTCGCAGCATCCGGCTTAGAAACACTTGCAAACATGATATAGCCACCTCATACCCACATCATGGGTGTGGGTCACCGCCAAGCAAATGCTTCTGCCTTTCCCAGACTTCTGGCTACAGCCAGCACTCTGCTAGATTTCACATCAGGAGCTTCGGTGTTGTATCACATCGTCATATACGGGCTGCCTACACAAGTTCTCCGGATCTTGTTCAGTCTGGTAAGAAACACCACTGTATAATTGCAGAAGTGCAGAAACACCACTTTCCGCACAGGATTCCATAAGCATCACAGACCTTGAGAATAGCCGCCCAGCAGGACGCGGTCCGCAGCTTCCAGTTGCGATGCTTCGGCTCCCACCTATGTCAACACGAGGCTCCAGCATCTTCATGCTAGAATCAGAAGAACGCCTGTGCAGGCAGGCGGCCACGCCGGAGACGAAGTCAACAGCCTTCTGCAGATCTCTCGTCGAGATGACCTCTTCGTGGCATCGCCGCGTGCCGCCCCGATTGCTCCTGTCCATGAGAAGAACCAGGATCCATGCTGCAAATTGCGGCATATTGCGGCAACGGACCAGAGATGCAGACACCGCTGAACACAGGGACGAGAGCGACGAACAGTCAAGCGTTGCTGCCGCGAAGCTTTTCCTTCCTTCACGTTCGATGGTAGCCCTCAAAAACAAAAGCTGTCCTGTATCGAAACCATTGCCTGAACGGGTGACTGGCACGCGCGACGTCTTTCATCAATTGTTGTCATGCCGCCATGCCTTATTCGTGCGGCTGCTTGCATGCAGGCCACTTGCCCCAGTCAATGTGCTGAGCGCCTTGGATGGCTTGAATGTGCTTGAGGCTTCATGACGAAAGTTGAAATCAACAAGCATCAGAACGAAATGCTTAGCGCATCAATTCCCGAGCGTCCAGGACAGAGGATCTTGCAGTAGTCGCGGATCAAGCGGCTTTGCACCTGCCAAGGCCCCTGTCCGCCCCAAACCGACTGCAGGAGGAAACCTCCAATGCTCCCAGGCACGAGCAGATCCTTCACCAGACCCTCTGGGCCGAGAAAGAAGGTGGAATAACAGCCCATTGGATGGCAAACCACCAAGGAGAAGCGATGCTCCTTCCTGCGGGAATACCGCGGGGTGGCATGGCAGGCTTCAGAACGCCTCTGTCAGCCAGCGAGCGTCCTGGGCATGACGACCGGAAAAGCCGGAAAGCGGGAGTTCGGCCGCTTGACCCACTTCCACTTCACGAGCACCTGAGCAGAGCAGTTTGATCCTTCGAGGTGCAATGGTGGCTTGTTGAGCTCTGTGCTTGGCCTTCATGCCCCTGCTGCAGCGCACTACGTAGACCCCAACAGCACTAAGATTAGTTACTACTTCGCGGTAGTTCACCTGCCATTCCAAGACAGCAGATGCTAAGCCGGGCACGCGAGAGGGCTCCTTCCTTCTGGCCTTACCTGGCACCGCTGCTTTGGCTGCTGCCGTCTTTGCTGGTCCAGACTCTGCAGAAGCCACAGCCTGTTGAGAGTTTCGCACGGCCATGCTTGTCACACATGACACGTGCAGCGCACCCACTTCGGGTGCTGCAGGACCAGCTTCATTTCACTGGAGTACAACTGCAAAAAATCAGTCAGGAATCCTTACGGCAAGACCTGCCTACCTCAATCACTTGTTTGATGCTGCGGCGCAGTGGGTTGGGGTTGGTCTGTGCTGGAGGCGCTTGAGCCAGCCTTGACCTCGACAGGCGCAGAAGGCTTGGCACGGCTCGGGCTGGCGAGCTTAGCAGACTTCGAGGGTCTCGCCGACTTCCTGAGCGCTGTGCAAGCCTATCTCTTCACAGGTGTCTGGGAAGGAAGGACCTCTTACAAGACTGGGCACAATCCAATATCGATGACGTCAGCAAGGTCGCAGCGATTCGCAGCGTGTTGACGGTGTGGATGAAACTGCAATCAAGCATCCCAGATTGTCTGCCGTTCAGCTTCTGCTTCAAGAACGCTGAAGCCTCCCAATGCAAAGAATTTGGCAGGGGGTCTTCAAGTTGATTGCCTGTTCGGTTTAGTCTGGGAATTCCAGTTTCGTGTGAAAGTTCGGCTATCCGAGTATCCACTAGCAACTAGGACCACTAGGATGTCCTTTGGCGATGCGTGCACCCGCCCGAGCCCGGCTCAAACCTGAAAGACATTTTGCCTGCCAAAAGGCACCCAAAAACGAAGCCGATTCTCGAAGATGATACATCTCTGACATGATGTTCTGCAACATGCACGAATCCCGCCACGGCATCTGAAAATCTGGCAGTAGGATTCGACAAAGATGTCGGCTAATCTTGCACTCACTGATTCGGTTTCCGGCCTTCGGGGTGTATTTCATTTGCGCCAGTGTATATTGCAAAGTCTTCTTCTCAACTTCAGTGACTCCTTTGCCATCTTGTGCCGCTTGCCATAAGCTGTATGCCTCCGCATAAGAAATCTGGCCTCAGATGGCTCAGACTGCATCACACCCTCTGTCGAGTGGGCATGATTGCGAACTCCAGGACCTCGCAGCTGCCTACGTAGAATGCCGGGTGGCCGTCTCCTACATAGCGCTCCGCCAGGTCCAACAACTCTCCTAAGCTGGGGCAATCCGGCGCCCCGCACAACGATTTCATTTGCTTGCTTCCTGGCGTGCCCAGGCAAAGGCCGCAGGCTCTGTGACTTCAAGGGCAGAGTGGCAGAGGGAAGGCTGAACAAAGAATATTGGGACAGGCCGAGCTTCTGTCGAATCGCTGTCCCTGGACCTTAAGCTTCTCGAGCTGCGTATCTCGAACTGCGTTCGTCGACAGGATCGTTACATGCAGCTCTCTTGCTAGACTGAGACGAGGAGTTTGTTCCGACCAGGGCCGACCCTGTGAATAGGGGTGCTCTCGGTGCTATCCGCTCTCCTTCGCTTGGAAGACACTAATGACAGCGGCAGCCCGGCAACAGGGGCATCATGCAGCATCCCCTGGTCCTCCTTGCATTCCCAGTGACTTGGCGATAGTAGGTCGTCCGCCGCGGGCTCTGCAACAAGGGCTGCAAGAAGGCAGAGGCCTTCTGCCTCGGCCCCGTTGGCAACACACAATCTACACATGCATAACATCGTAACCCCTTAGCCGAGGCACGTGAAGCGAAAGGTGTGCATTGCATGGCGCCTTGGCAGTAGGGCTCCTTGTGGGAGGTGACATGCATGGCTATAGCTCCAAGTGGCAGAACTTCCACGTCCCGGCTTGAGAGGTGTCCGTCGGCCCACAGGTCCTTGTGGCAAGCAGGTATTGAAGCACCCATTTTACACCCGTCTAAGTAGCTGAGTATACCTGGCTTAACCTGGCATGGCTCTTTCGAGACATGCTTTTCTCCAGCGATTTCGTCCAGGATTAGCTAAGAGGTCGCACGTCTCCCGTGTTCTCGCTTGCGGGCGTCATCTTCCTAAATCATCACGGCCGGCGAGCGGCCGGCAGTGTTTTCAACCGAAGAGACTGCCGCTGCCGAGACCCCCGTCCGGATGAGATGCCAGCAAGTGAGTGCCCATCGACCAAAAGAGCAAAAGCTCAGTCGCCCTAGATTCGGCCACTGAGCGACAGTTGAGCGTGTCTTCCGGAGAATGTGGTCATTCCTTGTCGCGGAGTGGTCGATCAATGGATGATCAGTCACACATTTCACACTGGCTGAACTATCTCATTTGTACTTCGTCTCGCCACGTTCTGCGAGAAACTGTTTTCAGAGTCCCCGCTGTCGAACTGCCATACGTTCTGAGATTCCAGGACTTACAGGGGCGTTCACAGAGCTGACCCCGTAACTCCTGGCATCATTCCCAGGCTAGTTCAGGCTTGGAAACACCACACTAGGTTGGCAACTCTCCTGTCGCTCCTACAACTGCAGTCCTTTGCTTCTGCATGGGAAATGCGACCGTCAGCTGCCAGTGCCTTGGCCTGCCGGGTGCTAGCAGCAAAGAGATCTTGAGGCAGCAGTTGAGTGCCGGGTGACACTTCTTGCACCGATTCAAGTAGCAGTCCAACAAACTTCAGTGCTTCTGAAGGAAAGACATGTGCAGCGATTCCAGAGTTGCTCGTCGCAGGCCCGACTAGCATGAATGGGCAATGCAAATGGGCAAAGAGTCGTCCGTGCCTTCTTGAAAAGCGATGTCTCTTCCAGAGGCTCCTTTGGTGCGAGGGTCAAGAAAATCAGGCGCACTTTTCGAAGAGAGCGCAGAGAGCAAATCAAACATGAAACCATCTCCTCTGGTGCATTCCGCTTGGCCATGGCTTAAAGCATGTCGTCAAGGGGCTAGCATGACGAACTTATGAATGACTAGGCTGACTAGGCTGCACTATGGACTCCCGACAGACTTCAATGCCTCTTGGAAGGTTCTGTTGCATGGACTGTGCTTCTTGGCGATCATATTTTCTGCTCGTGACCAGCAAGGAGGTCTGAGAAGTCGTTTATAGACGAAGACTCAACCAGCAACTTGGCTTTTTCGGCGAAGGCTGAAAGCTGTTCACAGGGGCAAATGCATCACAGACTCCTCTATTTAACGGAACAGCCACCGGGCAGCCACCACTTCTGGATCCCACAACCTGTCCCTTCACTGGGCATCCGGCGGAGCACAGCGGCACGTAGCTCCATGGGTCGGGGCCCCTCTTGCCTTTGCCCTTTTCGCCTCCTTTCTCGCCCTGCGAGCTCGGTCCAAGCCACGAGTGGACCATATCTGCTTATGCCAGCGGGAGCTCAGTCCTTCAAGCCCTTGTCCTGGTCACCTTTGCCTGCCCAGAAGACCAGCAACCACAGCCCTCCATCCTATTGCCTATGAAGATGTCACGCTATCATACGGATCAGACGCGCTTTCCACATCTCGGGCGCACCCCAAGCTCCGCCCGCAGCTCCTCCGCGATCCTTGGACCTTCTTGCTTTCCATGGAAGCCCATGCTGATGCTGCTGAGCATCATCGCATGAGGGTCTGGGCCGCACACCAAGCTCCTTGGCTGGGATGGCTTTTGCCGGACCTGGCGCGGGCTTCGGGATTGAAGGCTGCCGGAGCCTGTTGCTGGCCTTACAGAATCCAAGTCGGAGTGTACGTGAGTGTAGCTAGTAGCAAATGCAATTGGAATCGGAACGCGAACCCTCCGAGATGCCCGCCCACCGGCGCCTTGGTACCCCCCCTGCGGCAGGGAAGCATGCACAAATCATGCCAAGGACAGCTAACAGCCCTCACTCACGTGAGTGCGGGCCTTCTTGCCCCAGCCGCCGTCTTTTCCCATGAAGGGCTATCGTCCAGAAGTGGACATGTGTGACTGGGAATCAATGTAGAGTAGTGGCACTTGCTTTCTGCAATGTCCTGTATAGCTGTATAGCTAGCCATATGGCACTGTCAATCTCCTTTGCTTCAGATGTTTTGTTGCTGCACATCCGGCTGTAGGGTGGCTGGCAAATCAGCCTCTTCAATGCTACCGTGGAAGGAGTCTAAGGAGAGTTGTTTGTTCATGTCCTGTACCCTCACGGCATGACTGCTGTGTGCTAACCACCTCCATCAAGCAATCAGCTGAAGCAGACTACTGCCTGCATGGCTACGGTGAACAACTGGCGACATGAAGCCTAAAATACTACGAATGCTACTGATGACCAACACGAGAGATTCGCTCTCATGTGGGGCCAGGCTTGTGGCAAGTGACGGAAATGCGTTTGACTGAAGCCCATGAAAGCCCTGAGTTGTACCACATGGCGATTGTGCGTGGGATACAAAAGCTATCGAGTGCCCAGGAATTTCTGAATGAAAAGCTGCGTGCCCAGGAATATCTGAATGAAAAGCTCACGGAAAGAAGAAAAGCCCAGAAAAGCGACAAAATTCGCTGGGTGTGGCACAGCTGGTCGTACTGCTCCTGCATCTCGTTAGCCCGCTGAACTGCCACGGCACCTTGAGCACTCTCCACGCTCAACCTGGGCTCATAAGGTCTCACTAACTTGACATGCACGCCACCTCCAGTGACTGAATAACCACCCAGCCACCGCTATCGATCCAGTGGTGCATGCCGAGTGACCCCCTCTGTACAAAGTGGCACTACATAGAACTCTGATGAGACAATGCAGTGAAGCGGAGATCTTTCCTGACTGTGCGACCTGGTACACGGCCGACGGAAGTACTGCCGCGCCAAGACTGCAATACCACGTGGGCCGTCGAAAAGCGGGCCCGCATCAGCCAAAGTTACAACAATCCCCATGATGCTGCGAGAAATTCGGCACGAAACACAGGCAAGAAGACTTGCAAATGCATTGGTTCTTGCTCCGATGCCATTTAGGGTCTCCGAGGTCCCGGCTTCTCCAGGTACATGTGCATGTCGTCGAGATTCTGACAAGCCGCAGTTCTCACACAAGAGCGGGAAGCCGTAGTTGACACAGGTGGCAACATAGCTGCTCGTGATGCTACTAGTGGTGCTGCTAGTGGCTGAAACCAACGGTTCAAGGTCCTACTAGTATGATGCGAACGTGTAGAACGAGATCTGCTTTGTGCGAGCTTGAAGACTGGCGCTCATGGCCTTGTGAAGCTTTTCGCACCGGTCTTCGAAGTCGAAGGCTCTCTGTGCAATGGCCGCAGCCTCGCAGCACTTCAGAACATCCAAGGCGGCAAAAGCTGCCTTGTCGCGGCTTCTTGCCTTTCCTACATTCTCCTACCACTCTGGCAGAACCTGCTGGCAAAACAGTCAAGCGTCCGGCCTGTTGCCGCTCTGCAGCCAACCTCGGCCACACGTCCAAAGCTTGCAGCGTTTGGCATGTGTGTGGGCACAGCCCTTTGGCACTGCAACCAAGGCCGGTGCACTTCGGGAAGACTCTGCAAACGCAGGTCCTAATGCCACGGTAAGTTTGAACGTGAACGGACGTGTCTATCAAAAGGTCAGGGGCCTTTTGAAGCATCCAGCAGCGCTTTTCCAAGTCCTCAACGAAGTCACCTGCACAGACCAAACTGAGGAGACCTTTCTACGCATCTGCAACTAATGCAGAACCGCTTTCTGCCACCAGGGTGCTGAACTGCTGCCGATGCTGGCGCTCTTTCTTCAGCCTCTGGGCCAGTTTACATGTGCCTACCTGCCTGCCGTGGCTCCAAGACATGACATGAGCTTTGATTGACTGACAGGTTCCAGCCCCAATCGCAGAAGAGGCGTTGCGTTGTGAAAAGGCGGCGAAGGTCGGTAAAGACAGGCTCCAGGACCCGGTCATGCTCTCCATTTCTTTGGAATCAAGGACGGCCTGACGGTGAGACACGAGGGAAGCATTCCTCGCTCTCAAGCAAGTTTCAACGTGGCCTGTTTCCAGCCTCGCTCATAAGCTTTCGCCTGGTCACGAAAAGAGCATAAGCAAGCGTGGCGAAGTGGACAAGTGCATGAATGTACCGCATCGGACAGATATCTTCAAGGCAATTTGAAGACAGCCTGCCCATTTTGTACCATGCGAAATCTGGATGCCTTTGAGCTTTCTGCAACTGGCTTGCCTGCCTGGCGTTGCACCTCGTGGATTTCGGCAAGGAACTTGGCATCCTGCGAAATGCAACAGGGTTGGGGGCTTCGGTTCTAGGGAAGATCAAAGGCATGCTTCTGCGGTTTCAACAAGGGTGGTGTGACGATTTTCTTCGGACATGCCCACTCGTCGAGCAAATCGCGACAAACACACCGGGTGCCCGGAGCTCACGACCTTTGCACGATCGGCGCCGAGCACACGGAGGTCTCGTCGAGGTCACTGAAGCCATGTACACGGGCTTCCCAGAAGCTAAAGAGAAAGCCTCCTAGTACCAGGGACATTTGGAGCCGTGCCAGGAAATACGAAGTTGTTCCAGAAGCTGCATGTTCCAGAGAGTCGACCCGGCGGCAGGGGCCGCTCTTCATTTGCCCTCAGCCTCGAAAAGCAGCCGGTACCTTCACAGAGGTTAGTCATATCAAGCATTGGAACCTTGCTCACAGTCACCTGAGCGGAGGAGCTGGCAGCGAAGCCTACCTGCCCCGGGCTTCTCAAAAACGACCCGGGCCTTTGGATCAATGGCTCGAGTGGACAGGTCCATGACCTTTCTCACTTCACGGCTAGGCCAGGCTATCCTGTGCACCTAGAAAGAGGCGGAGCAGACCGGAACTGGTGCCATCTGCCCAAGAATGGAGGGAAGAGGGATGACCGGCTTTAGACAGAATGTCGCGCCTTGCTCGAGCTTGTTTTGTACGGCCCGTAGGAAGAGAGCACCCTGACCTTGAAAAGCAAGGGAGTAGTGGTTGCCCGCGGCCAAAACCCGGAGGTCTGAACATGCTCCGGCCTTGTCGAGTTGCTTCTCCTGCATTGGCATGGCACGCTGTTCCAGTGAACGCAACAGGTGCCCGGGGGCGACACAAACACTCCCTCTCCAGAGAAGTGGGGTCCGAAGGGGTACGCTTGGGGTACCCCACATGCAGCAGGATCTCTTTCGCCTTTCACTCTGCTACCTTCCGTCCGGCCTTCTTGGCCCAGCGCTCTGCAGCCTTCATTCGTCGCATTTCCTTCATCCGGTGCACCTTGTTTCGCACCACCTGTGTCAACAAAAGCGAGGAGGCATAGGTCAGCTAGGATGTTGAGATACGCGTGAGCTGCAACCCGTCTTGGTGCTGCACTTTTCGCCAGTAGGAACCGTCCTGCGAACGATCAGCGTTGCTGTGATGTCTTAACTTCGATGCATTGAGCAGCTTATTGACACTGCATCCTCGTTCGGCTGCACTACCGTGACATCACTGGTGCGATCATCGTACAAAACCTTGGAGATTGCAAGCAACCTTACAGCATGCCATCCGGAGACATCAAAGGGTGTGACCATGCAGTCGGAGACCAGAAACAGTTCATTTCGATTGTAGACTTGCATCAAAGCATGAATGTGGCAACTTCTCTGGCCCTGTCGAGCAACCAGTGCAGATCCTCCCCACCTGGCAGAAAGCTGGGGTGTGGCTGGCAGTGCAGCCTCAACTATCGAGTGCGTGAAGTTGTGAACACAGCATTTGAATCACAGGTCATGTCAATCCTTTCCACCCGCAGCTCTGCTGACCGACGTTTGTAGGTCACTTTGACCGCGGGAAGGCGAAGACAAATTGCCCGCTTGCGCAGAGCGAGCTGAAGGATTGGCAAAAAAAACAACTTTCGGATGGCCATCTTCTTGATTGACCCTTGCTCGCCTTTGCGCCCGCTTGGCTGAAGAGACTATTGTTTCTGGAGACCCTGGTCAGAAGAATTGTGGTCAAGTTTCTGATCGTACTGGATGAAGAACAAAAGTCTGAAATTCAGGGCAACAAGTCAGGCGCAAGTACTGCCTCGACATTTTGTCGGATGTCCAGACTTGCGGTTCATGGTTCCCTTGCAGCTTCTGAAGTTTGGCGCGCTCATAAGCTCGCATCCAGGCAGGAAGCCTTCAAGCCGAACCTGGCGAGAGTTTTGCACTCATGTCTTGTGCATTCTTGTGCCTGAAGCGACCTGATAGAGCGTGCTCGAATCTTCTCGAATCAGTACCGGCATGCTTCGCATCACTTGAGTGCAAAATACTACGAAGTCTGCACAAATGGTGGGCCTCATTCTGCCGAAGCCTTGCTCCGCCCGCGCTGAAGCACGCGGGCCATCTTGGGAGGAGGCCTCGATGGGCTGACGAAGGTCCAGACGACATACTGCGTTTCGAACAGAGTGTCTTCAAGCCTTTAGCCGAGCAGCTCCGACTTTTCCTCACTCGAGCGCGGCCGCTTGGAACCAGAGCCCTGCTGTTGTCGAAACCATCGTAAGATCTCCATCGCTTCAGCCTCATGGGCCGAAAACACCACCGGCAGGCCATGGACCGACTTTCACACGGAAGCTGCCTGAAAGAGATGCAGTGGTCCCTAAGTATATGTGTGAGAACAAAGTCTGACAAGTTTGTCACTTCTACTGAAACAAAGCGGTCACTTGATGGTAAATGCCATGAGGGGGAGGTAGGGAGGAAATCGACTGCAATACACAAAACTTTCCGAAACAAAACCACAAACATCCCATACCTCCTGTCAAGGCACACAGAGCTGAGGGCAAGTGCTGAAAGCAACTGTGTAAGTTACAAGGGCACAAGGCCATAAGGGATGATAACATTCGGGTGAACCACTTCACTGCATGATGCAAACAAGGAGTTGCATGCGAACTCTGCATTCGTATGGCGGCAGAACAGCCCCCGAATGCTAGCACCGAGCCCCGAATTGAACCGAAGTGAGGCATGCCAATATCTCAAAGATCTGCGAGCCTGCATGTCATAGCTGACGCCGGAGACGTGAGCACCTTGGCAGGACAGGCTGCGGACAGTTCCCTTGCCACATGGTCAACCGCATGTCAGGGCTCTGACGGTGCTGCGCAGACCATTTCGCACGGCGTTGTGCAAAACGCTGCGCATTTGCAGCTCGCTGCTGCGCAAGTTCCCGCCTGCCAGCGAACTGAGCCCTGGCGAATTCTGGCAAGCATGACTCCTGCGCACGGCCTCAAAGCCTCCCACTCCTCCGTGCAACGCCGCTCCTGCCGAGTAGACAAGTGACTTGACGGGTTTGCATATACTTGCATAGCCTAGGCCTTAAAGATTCGGAATGGCCGCCGCGGTAACTCTTCACTATTCTCTCAGCTCCTCCTCTTCGCGCTGCTTCTTGCGTCTGCGACCTTCCTGCGCAGCACAATCAAATCTGCTTCGGATGGCAGAAGGAAAACTTTGAGATCTTTCGCTCTCCCGCTTCACACCTTGCCTCTCTTGCCCGCTCAGCGTTGGTCTGCGCTGCCGCGCGTGAGGCTGCCGCTTTGCGCTTCGCGCGTTCAACAGCTGCTTGGCGTTGCGCCTTGCCACCATCACGGACTCATGGAATGACCATAGCTTCGGAGCAGACTTGCATCTGCGGCTGAAATTCGGATCGCGATTTTCGGGAGAAGCCGGACTTGCTAGGGACATGTTTGGCCTGCTCTGGACATCTCTTTTTCTGGGCTCGATCCCTCCAGCTTCGACCTGCACCGCCTCTTATCTCTTAGCACCCAAGTTGTCCCGTGGCCCTCGGCTCCTTCCGCCCGGCCTCTGCCCACATCCGCTGGAAGCGATCGGACTCGGCGGCAGGCCGCTTCGGAGCCTGGTTAGGCCAGTGGTGCCCAACTGGTCAAAAGATCTCCGACCTGCCTTGGGCGCCGCGGCGCACGTCTGTGTCTCCGGGGCACATGGCAGTGAGGTACTGAGCAGCTCGTAGGCCTGAGTCTTGAATGCCAGCAGCGAAAGTGCTGCTGCAGCTTGATGAGCAGCTGTTCTATTGTCCATCGAAACTGGCACCGGGGTTTCTGTCGACACAACACACCATAGAATACCATAGAACTCGCCAAGCCTTCCTTCACCGAACCAATCTCACCGCTTCTGTAGAAAATTGCCAGCCACGCTGCAGCACTCAACTTTTGGAATGCCTCTTTGTCGCCTTATTTGGAAACACGGTTAGCACAAGGTTCACCTGAATGTACTGACTGCAGCTGGATCTCCTCCCTTGTCCGGATGATGCTGGCGTGCTAGTTTCCGGAAGGCCCCAGTCACGTCCTCGTTCACTGTGCAGATCTGTGCAGTGCACCGTCGGCCGCTGGGAAGGGGCTCAACCCGAAACCCGGCTCTCCTGCTGGCTGCATCCCAGCTCCAAGCCTGAGCAGGCTCAGGAGGGAAAGGCACATCGAAGACACAGCCTTGGCCATCTGAAGCCGAGGGGCCCAGTGTCTTCAGGGCGTCTGCCGATGCGGACATGACGATGATGTTAGGCCGCCGCTCTGCCCGCGGCAGCTGCCATCCCAGACATCTGTACAAGTGACCAGGAGGCACTTAGATATCTCACCAAGCACAACTCGAACATGCTAAGGCTGCAGGGAACTGATGCTGTGGCATGGCTGTAATCTTTAAAGGGTTGGTGTGCGGCAACGGAGTAGTCATGTCCGTGCAAGACATACTTCTTTTAGGGAGTACCTGAGCCTGCTCATACCGATGACAGGGACGGTAATGTTGATTTCCTGCGATCACGTGCAAACCCCACACTCCATCACGTTTATCGTGTTGAGACAGTCATGTTGCGTTGCTTCTGCCTTTGTAACCCTTGTAGCAGCCTAGCATGGGGGAAACAAGTGATGCCCGAAGTACTCATCGTCGATCACTGCGACTCGTCGATCTTGCATCTCGTCTCTGCCTCGTCTTACAGGATCCCTCAGCTGCAGCTTGCTGATGCTGGCTGGGCAATACCGAGCGACGAACTGACGACCATGCCAAGAGGTGCAAGCGTGGAGGCCTGCAAGGCACCGCAAGGTCCAAGCCAGGACGTTAGCAGGAAACAGGGTGACAGGGCTCAGTTGTCGACATCGTACTCAATGATCATGCCATTGTGCACGCCCAGCACCGCTCCGTCTTTCATGTGCCACCAGCAGACCTCCGGGAAGATTGACCAATCACTTTTGTCATCCAGACCCATTTGTCAGACACATATTAGCCCAATTACCCATAGCTAGATTGAAAGTATCCGCTGTATGGGCCTGCTTGCGAGTTGGCTCTGTTCCTGCCTGGTCTGGCTGCGAGAAGTCCATCTCCGTGCCCGCAGGATTCAAGGTGCCATTGGCATCTGGGATCAGGCAGCCGTCATTCTCCTGTTGATTTTGCCCGAGCAAGCCACCCATGAGAAATCGCCATCAAAGGTTGAAAGCGTCGATTGCATGCGCAGCCCGCAAAGCAACTGTGTTGACGGTCCGCTGATCTTGGAGTTCAGCCCTCGGCCCACCTGTGGCACGTACGCGGAAAACCATAATGCATGGTCATAGTCCTGAAGCAAGCCACCACGCTTGTCTGCAAGCAATGTGGCTTTACACGGATTGATTCTTGATCTGGATAGGCAGGCCCCACACCGACAGTTGACTAGAACCAGTCCTCGTGTTTGTGCGCAAAGGTCAGTGTAGAACACTCTGCAGCTGCTGCATCAAGCTTGAGCTCCTTCGCAGCATCCGGTACAGTAATTAAGCCGGATCAAATTGAAACAGAAGCCTATATGACCGAGCTCCTCCGGAAGGTCACAGCTGTCGGAGTAGAGCACGGTGGCATCCAAGCGAAGCTGGCGAGTAGCACAGGGTTGACACAGCGACACTCTGCGCGGCTGAACGGTTGAAAATACGACTGGCATTACAACATGTTGTAATAGTGCTATAGTACTATGATAGTACTATGATAGTACTATGATAGTACTATTATAGTACTATTATAGTACTATTATAGTACTACTACTACTACTACTACAATACTAATTATTCTAACAAGTTCGCCTCCAGCTTGGACTCGGCTCTCGGCTCTCTCGGCTCCGGGCCTCGCCGCTTTTCTTGTGATCCAGGGTGTAGATCTCGAAGCCCTGAGCCAAAGTGAGACAGCCGAAAGTGCTACAAGTCTTCGAAGCAGCTTGATAGCACGCCTTTCTTCTAGACTTTGCAGCAAGGGAGAGCAAGCTCGTTGAATGTCACCAGGGGAGCACGTGGCTCACAGCATTATGTGTGGCACTATGGGTTGCCCAGCATCGTCGGCTTCCACCGCCATTTGGGCTCAGAACTGATTCGTGCGATGGCGATGGCGGCTGTTTGAACCAGTTTGTCGCAGCGGCTCGCGGTGCCACGTTCCCCGCAATCTCGCGAGTTGGTGATGCGGCTTGGTGCAAGCTTGCATGGGCCGAGATGGCTCGAAACCCGGCAATGCCCTTCGCGCGAATCCCAAAAGCTGATGATTCAGCACCCCCAATAACCCTCGCAAGCGCCTGGGCATTGCCCTTGACCAGTCGCGACTGCTGCCTGGCACAGACTCTGAAGAGCTCTGAAGCCAAGCAGCAGGGCACAGGGCCTCTCCCGGCCTCCCATCTCTCGAGGAGTGGCTTCGCATCACCCCTGTCTGTGCAAAGACGCAGTGGCCGCGCCGGTTGCCGCCTGCAGTGCCCGTGCCGAGCGGAGCTCCACTCGTCCCAACAAGGGCCTCACCTGGAAATGTGATAGAGTCTTCGTAGTCGTGAGACAGGTGGAAGTGCCCGGAAAACCAACCTGGCCAGGTGGATCCGAACAGCAGGCATCGAAAGAGGCACGTCTCTGGGCACCCGAACCCTTTATGCAGGCGTTCTCGCGCACAATCTGGATGAATTTCTTCGAGCCTCATGACATGCGGTGTGAAGACGGATCGGCCCCCTTCATCCCCTTCCAGACTCTCGGACTGTATCAGAGGATATCAGAACTGACACAAGGAAAGCCATGTTCACTGTCCCTTGCGCTGGTCTCGCACTAAGTCGCATGCTGGCTCCATCAGTGTGGTTCAACCAGCAGCAGCCATTCAGCACATGAATCTCCTCCATGAGGCTCGGCTGAAGTGTTCTGGACTTCATTTAATTACTCAATGGCAAACCGCTCCTGAAGCACTCGCAGGGCAGAGCCTATTATCGGGGCATGAGAGAACACGAAGACCTGCCAAGGTGCATGATCACCCACTACAGCTTGGCACACATCACAGCTGCCGAAGAACATGGAGTTATCAGTGACCAATGCCTGCCAGCCCTCAGCTGCTGGATGGGCGCGGATAGTGTCTTCCTAAGCGCATGCGCAACATGCGCCGGCCAGTAGCCCCGAGACCAAATCTACCCAATTATGCGGCTTGTTGATGCACACGTACAGCTCCGGGTGATGTGCTGCCATGCGTGCTGCAAATTCAACGTGCTGCAATGCCACGAGGCTCCCACAAACCACTCCAGCTGCTCCGAATCCACTGACACCTCCACAAATTGGCCAGCTGACACTCTCATTGCAGGGAGCACGTCCGACACACACTCTTCAAAATGTGGCAGGTGCAGCTTCATCTTGTGCCAAGCCTCATGGGACGAGAAGCCTGGGTGCTCATCAAAGAGATGTGACTGCTGCAGGTCTCCGACACTAGACGCTGCGAGAGCCACTACGCGCTTTTCGATTGCTGTAGCCACCAACATTGCGGTGGGAAGCATGCAGTCACGATCTTGGCGAAATACATGTATTTTCTGCGGATGCAGCTAAACCCTCAAAATGTCCCCCCCCCCCCGTTCATTCATTCCCTGGGCATGCAGCAGCCAAAACCTCGAAAGAGCAGCTCCCGGCCCCCCCTCCCCCTCCCCCCCCACGCACCCCTGAAAACATTTCCTCTTCTCGGGATTCGCTAGCGACACAGCAAAAAATATATATTCCCTTGACATCGACATTGATTCTTTGAGCGGCGCAGCTAAACCCTCGGAAAGAGCAGGCATTTATTTCCTGAGATGCAGCTAAATACATTCAGTCCCTGGAAACACAGTGATTTCCTGGGGATGCAGCTAGATGCGGCAAAACCCTCGAAACAGCGGGCTGCCCCGTTCGTCAGAAAGGCTCTCGATTTATGCATTCCCTTGATTGATTCTTTCGGGGTTGAGCTGCGAAGCAGCAATCCCCGCCGGCCATTTCTACAGTTGTTCCCTAGGATGCAGCCAAATACTGAAAGCCCCCGGCTGCTCGTTGTACATTAATTCCCGGGATGCAGCTAAACCCTCGCAAGAGCAGGCCGCCCCACTCGTCATATATTGTATTCTCCGGGAATATTCTCCGGGAGCTAGAACCTCCAAAGGGCAGGCGCCCCCGCCCTCCCCGTTGACATGTGTATTCCCGTGCAGCTAAACCTTCGGACCTTCGGAAAAGAGATTCGGCCCCTTTCTGCATGGATGCAGCGAAGCCAAAGCGCAGGCGCCGCTTTCCGACTTGGCGCATGCGGCCGAGACGCGCGCGGAGCGGAAGGAAGTGGAGCCGAGGCCGACGAGCAGCGTCCGCTCTGCAATCTCATGACCTGAACACACTAGAGACCGACCACCGGGTACCTATGAGGATCTCTGCTTCTCACAACTTTCCTCACTGTGTTCTTGGGACGTCGGCAGAAGTAGGGATTCTCCTGTCGCTGCCAACATTCGAAATGCTTTCTTCGTGAACGCGCTTTCGATGCAAAATGAAATTTGCACTCACGGGGTCCTTACCCAGAATGTCCAGGAAGGCTCTCAGATTTTCAGCGTCCGTGCCGAACTCATCGATGCCCTGCAGGCAGCTAGATTACCCTCCGACCCTGCCATCAGCTCAGACACCACAGATGCCTTGGATGTTGACTGGATTAGCGCAATGTATGAGATGCCTCGAGGTCATGGTTGCCGCCCACGACATCATACCTCGTCCCCAGGCCTAGGAGAGTCATGCAGGATTGCAAGTTGCAAGGCAGGACGCCAGGCCAATCGTGGCTCTCTGGCCTTTTGCTAAGCCCACGTCCATCCAAGAACTCGCGCGCGAGCTTGAAGCACGTCGATGTTCCAGAAAAAAGCTGCTGTGTGTCCTGTTCGGAGAAAAAAGGCTTGAGAACCACCGGGTGTTTGTTGAAGTGTTTGTTCTGAGATGCTCTGAGTGAATCTTGTGTTAAAGCCAAGCCGCATTGCAATCCTTGGACTCTCCAAGATCACCCAGAGAAACAGCGAAAGCATTCAGCTGTCCCTCCAAAGCATCCTTCATGTGCCTGGACAACACGGCAGCCCTGGCCCGGCACTTGCTTGCAGCAGCTTGCAGCAGCTTGCAGACAAGTGCAGAAAGGCTGCTGCCGGCCGATCATGGAATCCTCCAGGTCGCGAGGGTCTAAGTGGAGGTCACCCAGGATGCCGATGGTATAGCAGCTCGGATCCTGGTGTCAGTGGCCAAATCTTATGAAGCCAATTGTGCTGGGCCGCGAATTGCAGCCGGAAGTCATCATCAAGGAATTCTAGTCGCGGGGGACCCGCATCTGCCCTCTCGGCATTGCAGCGAAGGCCCTGGGCAGATCAGAGTCCATGTTGACTTAACTTGCATGTGTCAGCTTCTTGCCTTGTGCCATCGGCTTCTGCCCCGGTGCACCTTGAGCGGGGACCGGAAAAACAGAAAAGCGGGAGGTGGGAAGCAAACATTTGTTCTTTTTCTCGGCCTCCACAAGAGAAAAACCGAGCACTACGCCAGATCAAGCCCAGGCACGGAGGCGACCGTAGCAGCAACCAGAGCGAATTGGCTACGGCCACGCCTGAGGACCTCAGTAGGTCGGACTCAATGCGACACTCATCGCGCATGTTGGCGTCTCCAGCCCTAGGATTCCGGCAGATGGCCGAATTTGGCCGCGTAGCCGCGACTGATGCCCTTTCGGAGATGAAAGCTGAAACCCAATTGACCGTTTTCACAACCAGTCCGGTGCCTGCAAGCTCTGAAAGGATGGGAGGTGACTGCGGCAGCAGCCCACCAGCGAGCATGGCCGGAAACTGCTCACATGCCGCAAACGTGGAACATGCTACTGTGCATGTTTGACTGCTTGTGTAGCGACTGTTGTGAACGATTTTCTTGCCCGAGCAGTTCTGACTTGATTCGGGCGAGCAGCGACAGCGACGCTTGGTGGGGCTGCCGTAAAGCCTCAAACTCTGCTCGTGCCGGAGTCTCGTAAACTGTCCATCAGGAACCACAGGAGGCTGAACAGCACACCTGCAAGAAGTATCTGAAGCTCCTTCGCCTGGCGATCCCGGTCCGCTGGACGTGGCTTCCGCAGCTCCAAGCACTTGGCCTAGCCAGGTGAGTCGGACATCTACCGGTGATGCTGGAACTGTTCTAGTTTAGGCAAGTGTGTGCACGCGATACTCAGCTCGATCACCTGCAGCTCGGATGCAAAGACGTGTCCCTGCCTTCTCTTCCAAGAGTTCCTGTGACATGTCCTCCAGTCGCCGTGCGCACCTAAGCCGAGCTCGTGAGATCTCGTGAGCCCATTTCTGACACGACCGAAGCGCTTCCCCAAAGCCATGGCGTGGCCGGCAAAGCCGTTAAGCCACATGAGGCAGGTTAACGCAGACACGGGGTCGGGTTCTGAACATGTTCATTGCGCCTCTTTTTCTCCTCCAGGAGCTGGTCCTCAAGCTCACTCGCCCGTTTCTGCTCCTGGTGAAGTGTGCGAGAACCGATTGCAAGCTGGTTATCGCCTGGTGGACTTCATGCTTCGCCTCTAGGATTTGAAAGAGGCTCTCAGGGGCTTACTGAATTCACTATAGCTCCAGCTGACCACAGCCTTTACCAGCCAAGTCCGTGGACACTAGCTGCCCAGGACTCTACCTGATCCAGGTTCGAAGTAGCACGCACCTATGTCCCTGCAACATCCCAGCAGTCCTCCTTCAGGCGGGATTCCAGCGTGAGCAGCCACCGCTGATCCTTGCGAGATGCAGAACTTCATACCGGCTACTTTGCATGAGCGAAGGATCTCCGGGCCTCGCCCAGCCATGCGCGGTGCTCAGCGAGCTCGATGGCCTGGCCGGCTCTGTCTTTGCTTTGGATACGTTGAAACTTGTTGAAACCAAAGACCACTACACTGCACTACACCACACCAGGAAACTTGTCGTCCGATGCTCCGACGCATGGCTTTGGCCGCTGCGAGTAACACCATCCCAGTCTGCTACAACCACGGATGCGACAACGATGCTGCCTCATCCTTCATCAGGTTCTGTTGGGAACGATACTTCTGAATCTCCTGCCATTAGCTCAATCAAGAGCATCTGTAGGGGTCCCACCAAAAAGGCGTTTCTGTCCTCAAGCAGCTGTGCGACGCGAGCATCACGCTCCTCCACAAGGGGCAAACCCAACAGAGCCCAGCACCAAAGCCGTACCCGGCCTTCAGAGTCTGCTCTGCCACGCGAGTCTTCGAACGCTCCGCCTCTGCCACAGCCTCGAGGAATCGAAACTTTCCGCACGTCCCGAAGAAAATACTGCACATTACTGCACTGAACTGCCTTGAGGCTGACATAGCCGGCTTGGATCTCATCCAACTGAGCCTGCGGACAAATGGAATCCGAGTACAGATGGCTGCCTTCTGGCATGGACGACGGCATCAGAGCATCGTGCAATTAAAACAATATTGTTTTACAACGGTGTCGAGGGCACGACATGTTTGAGAACCAAGACGAACCAAACCGCGGTACCACGAAAGTCGCGTCGGGCTTCAATCGCAGGGTTGACGGTGAGAGCGGAGCTTCCACTCAGAAGGTTGAAGGTTTGCTCAACTTGCCTAATGCCGCATATACGTGATTTCAGGCCAAATTCAACACGGTCGTCCAGTGAGTCTAGTGGAGGAGGGCGGCCTCAAGATGATTCTAGATGTGCCACTCCCGATACCTGCTCACTTACGACACAAGTCAGCATCTACAAAACCGACCAGAGTGTAATTCGAGTAGGGAAGGAAAGGTGAAAGGCCACGGTCGAGCAAAGCAATCAAAGGGGTCAGGAATCCAAGCGCAAGATCGCGCAGCAAATGCAAAACCGCCGTGCTCGACTTCTCCACTCAGACAGAAGCATGCGGCACATAGCTGTGCGAGGGGGATCTATCCAGCCAGTGCACTCTTCTGTGACTATGGACCATGGACAGTGCAGGCCGTTCTTAGCAGCAGCAGCCAACAGAGCGACCGCCTGCAGCTGCGCACGCTGGGATTCCACCTTGCCGACACTAAGCCGCTGCTACGAGCAAATGGTGAAATTCAATTCTCAGAGGGCTCTCTAGTGTGCCTGCTAGCAGCCAGCACAACTGTCTCCGCGCAAACAAGAGTCTCAAGTCGTCTTTCAGCTGGCTGCTGCAGCTTCTGTGTACATGCTGCGTCTTGGCGAGTCGGCAATTCCGGAAACACTTCACCCATGATATTGATGAGTCCTCGAAGCACAAGACCCGACCACTTCAATTGCCGAATCTTGAGCTTTAAGCGGCAGAAGTTCTTCTGGATCTTGGTTCGCTGGTGGGAAAGGTCTTCATGAATTCGCTCTAGATTCAACACTGCAGGCGACATAGTGGGCTTGGTTCTGACTGTATTCATCCTCCACCAGCTGCCGCAAAGAGAGAGATCCCACACCTTCGCGGATCAACGACTTTGAAACCTGCATATACAAATACACACTGTCGCTCGTTAGTTGGAGCTGCCCTTGAAGGGCAAACGAAGGTTGTGGGAGTGAAATACAGAGCTGCATGCCACAAACTGTAAGCTGGGCATGCAGCTAGATGCTCAATCGTTCCGATCTCCGAAAAGCTGGAGTAAGTATAGGAAGAGCTGGATGATGTCCACGTACAGTGTGATGGCGGCCTTGGACACAGCATGAGACTGCATGCACACCTACCCAGCCTGTGCTTCCAAAGGCAATGCAATTCTCTGCTGTCGAGGTGCCATGCAGTAGTCATCCACAGTAAACGAATATGTACTATGCTTTCCACCAATGATCATCTGGGTGTCCACCACGATGTATCCTGAGGACATCTTAGGACTGTGGATGAGTTGATCCCCTTTCGAGCCCCTGTGCCTGCCGTGCCTCTGCTCCTTACAGAATGTTCAAGCATGGCAATCGCTCGTGTCCTACATTAACCACCGACGTGCGCACAAGCTACCGGTCCCTTCAAAGAGTACGCAGCTCATGATGTAGCAAAATGCCTTCGAAAGGCATTGCAAGGACAAATGCGGAATTGTCGAACAGCTTGGCAGGTTTTGAATCAATGTTTTCGTGCTAGATCGATCACCGGTGCAAAAGGTGGTCATGGCCAAGCATCCGCAGAAGAGCAGAGCCCCAAGGGCGGCATACACCAGATTGGCTGCCCTGCGCTGAGGATAAGCTCGGCCATACTCCCACGACTGATGCAAACCTAAAGATACAGTGATGAGTACGAACGGAATTAGAGCGTGAAAGCATGCCAAAGCTTGCATGCTAAGAACGCCACTCTGCATACCTGCTCGGCGGGTCCTGAAGAATCCACCTCCGGCCCCTCCAAGCATTGCGGTCATCATGAGCAGGAAGCTGAAACCTCAAGTGCTCCAACACCCGTGCCATGCTTGCAGCATACTGGAGCGTGTGACTCCGGGCAACATGACAACCCTGAGGCAAGAAGGTTCTACCAAATCGCGACAACCGTGCATTGATTTGAAACTCTCTGGATGTGGGTCTCACATCTTGCCGAACAACCGCAGAGAACCAAGGTAGCAGTCATGAGGTAGGGAAGAAATCCTGGCGACATCCAGGTTGGCTTTTCGACTCGAGACTGCAGAGACCGGGGTGATCCAACTGCTGGCTCCAAGACTTCTGACGATGCGTTTGCATGTAACATCTGCACTTGGAATGTGTTTTCCTTCAGTCTCTATCTTCGATTCTGCACTTGCAAGTATGTACCTAGCTTATGCGTGAATGCATAAAGTGAAGCTCGGCATGTGTCTCCCAGGATGGTAGGGACAGAGGCGGGAAAGGACAAAGCTGCAGATTTACAGCCATTTTGCGGGTCCACAACAGAGCCGAGGCATCTACACCTTTCTCATACTTCTGTGCGTGGTGAAGCTGCATCCCTGGCTTGTAGGCACCGGTCCTGTGAAGTCGTACTTTGTCTGGCAAGCAAAGAGCGTCAAGCCGCCAACACAAACGGCTGTAATTGCCAGGCACATGATCACGGACTGCGCCTGAGCATTGCACCAACGGAAGAGGACCCACAAAAGCTTCCTCCTTGAAGCCTTGGCCTTCTGCGTGCCGGGAGCCCGGCTGTATAGTTCGCACACACGAAGCCAACCATGACAGCTTCCTAGGCTTTGTTGCCCCAGCATCAATATTCACATGCGCTACCTGATTGATTTCTTGGGATCATTTGGGATCGAGAGTCACTTGCGGCCAGGACTCGGCCACGGTAAACATTCCAAGCAAGAAGTAGTTTGTAGGATATTCTCGCATGGTGTGGGGACCTGAGGGTGCACATGCAACACGCACACGCAGGCACTGATGCTTTGGGTGTGCTTCGGCATGGAGCCTCTGGGTCTGGGAATAAGCTTCGAGAACGGGGCATGCAAAGCAAACAACTGAATCCAGAATGCAAAACAGAAAGAAAAACTGATCAAAAGCGGAAACACCGGAGGTGCACTTTGATTTCTGTAACCCTAGATACGTCTCAAGTTCCTTGCAGCGGAGTGCTGCACCCGCAGATGCAAAGTAAGCCCAGCACAGCAAGTGAACACGCACATGATGGCAATGACCGCCGCCAAAGACAGGAACATCATGGTCCTTGTATCGCTTCTGCAGCATCCGATCCGTTGGCATACTCTAACTGCCCACAAGGTGTCGTCAGCGAAGGAAGCGCTGCCACACACGTGCAGACGCGCACACATGCACACACACACACAAATCCCTAAAACAAAAAGATACCATCTGAGCTCAGATCGAAACGATTTCGGGGCTTTTCACCTTCATTTCCAGACCATAGTTGGCGATCCTGGGCACCCAAACTGCATCCAGACTAGGCAAGCTCCAAGCTCAGCCAGTCGTCTCCATCGCGGAAGTTTGCCTTGGACTTCCCTTCCATTCTTAGGAAAGCATCGGTGCAGCGATTAGCGTAGTGACGATCAGCTGGACCGTGAGAATGCTGTAGACCTGCAGCGGCTCCAGCTGCCGAGCCGAGCCCGAGGCGGCCACGAGACGAAACGTGGCCTTCCGAACGAAGCCATTCTTCACCGCGGTGCTCTGCATGCCGATAAGCTCCTAAAGAGAATGTGCAGCTACATCAGAAGATATCGGAAGCCACAAGACATTCGCAAATAATGACCGTGTGACAGCCGGGAAACGCCAGGAGCATAGTTCTCGTCTGAATCAACTTCGTTGACAGGGACGCCCTGAACAACAACGTTCTGCCCGGGAGTATACCTGACCAGAAGTCTCCAACTTTGAACGTGCGAGGAACAGCGGCATGACATGAGGACAGAACATCCAGAAGGCAGCCTGTTGCTCATGGCTTCCCACGCAGGTCAGCAGCCAATGACAGTTGAGCCGATAAAGACTCCACCAGACAGCGATTTACATGCATGGGATTCCTGCACCGTTCGCGCACAAATAAGGTGCTGCGACCGTGCTTGCAGCGTTACAACCGGTTGCTATGGCTGCTCTGGGCAGCAAGAAAGCGCAATATGGCCAAACTTTGATTGGAGCTCCACCCTGGTCCTGGTAGAACTACACTACGAGTGCTTGTAGCTGCTGCGGTAGGAGGACTTGAACGCGATACCCTAACTACCCAAGATTTGTGCATCGCTGGTATCGAAGGAGCTGAAGCACTTTGTCACACCAGTGGCGATGGCCAACGCTTCATTCACTGGCCATTTCGTCGGCCAACATTCCGAGTTCCCTACCGAGCATCACACTCTCAGCGTCTACGATCTCCAAGCAGCCGCAGCAAGAACAGAAACAGCTGAACGATGTCGAGATATATAGTGATGGCTGCCTCAAGCCAGCAAGATGCAAGTTCTTCACATCTACGTTCTCATTTCTGCAGGCAATACACTGCATCTGCATGATGGCTACCACCGACTTGGGCAAGTTGCCATGCAGTAGTCATCGATGCAGAATCGAAACCTCTGATGCTTTCCACCGACGATCAACTGCGTGTCCATGATGATGTATCCTCCGCTGAGCAATGCTGATAGCGAGCATGGCACAGCATTCGGCACGGTACTGTCGCACCGGTTCCACCTAGTCTACCTGCCTTGAATCGGCACAAAGCAGCTTGAAAAATCGAAAGCCGCTTGCCTGAGAAAAGCAAAGCGCCACCAGCTGCGTACACCAAGTTCAAGGTCCTGGCACACGAAGATCCAGAACAACTCAAGGGCTGAAAGCAAGTTGTCTAAGCATGCTATCCTTGCACTCTCTCATTTCTGCCGATTCTACACTTACGACCAGCGTAGTGCCAGTGTAGCATCTGGCTTCGTCTGTCTTGACTCTCGTACTCCTTGCGAGCTCTCCGAGCCCGCGGCTGGAAGGCTCCAGTCTGGCTCGCGCCGCACATCGCAGCGATGCTCAAAGCGAAACCGAAACCTCAGAGACAGCGCAAGACCGGCTTTTTGTCCGAGTCATCTAATCTGAGCTTCTGGGCCTGAACAGCCTGCCCTTTGCGATCAAGTTGCCAAAGAGCACCATAGTTGCCATGAGGAAATATGGCATGAAGCCTCATGGAAAGCTTCCATCATCGCTGAAAACAAACAAGACCAAGCGGTCGAGGGCAGGGAAAGAGAAGCGATTCGAACGATGTGAGAACTCAACACATTCCCTGGAGAAGTACTGAGACGTCAGGCTTCCCAGCTCACAAACCGATTTTCTTTCCATGTTTGCAACGTAAACACGCGATCTGGAAATGTGTTATATATTCTTCTTCTATCTAGGACCTACTAGTAGACCCAAAAATCTTTCCCCCCAACCCTGGCACCAAAGCTTTTGCAGCCTTCCGCGCCTCGACGAGATGGCATGTTACTGCATCACTGCATGTTGCCTTTTGCAAGGGGGCCTTTCCGCAAGCATGGAAACCCCTCTCGCGTGTTACAGCGGCTTGTGCATTCGTTGCTGGGGTGGCCTTCCGCAGAGCACGGCCCTGTCGCATCCCTCCACACAAGCCGTCCCAGAGAGAGTTCCAGATCGAATGAAAGTTTTGTTGCGGGTGACTGCCAGCGCGACCGACGCCTTTGTTTGCCTTTGTCGGCCCTGACTTGCTCACACAAGTCTCGTCGTCCACACAACTTCATCGACCACTATTGCCATTAGTGACTTGTCTTCTTTCCCAAGCACCTTGCACCATTTGGAGCTGTGACCATGAACCCCCTGGACATGCAGGACTTCCTGGCGACCAGAAAAATGCAAGTGGAAACGTAGGATTCGAAATGATTTGACTATGCTTTTTCTTCTCTCCTTCTGACTCCCTCCAATTGGCCTTTCCCTCCATCCTTCCGTCCCTCTCGTCCTCCTTTGATCCATTTGGTTTCCCTGGGCCCCCTCCGGGTGACAAAGAACCCAAACAAAATAAGCGAGCGGCTGGTTCCCGGTTCCCACACCGCAGACTCGCACAAGCGCTTGAAGGCAGATGCATGCACCACAAATTCCCACACTGACACAGGCGTCCACGGAGACTGCGACATGTTCACAACTAACCTAAACCCAGCCAACCTGTTTCCCCACTATCCGAATAAAATTGCCCCTCGATGCCGCACACCCTTCAAAACTTAAACTTTTACACCCTAAACCCGAAAATTCTTTAGACCCCAAGAAGCCGCAAGCCTTAAAACCTCATAACGTAACCGAAACACACCGAACCCTCCACAACCTTGATCCTGAAAAACCTAAATTACAAAACTCGCGACCGTTGCTGTGCAATGCTGTGCAAGCCTAAAAACCTCACTACGCAAACCCAGCACCCTTAAGCCTCCAAATCCTAGATCTTGGAAACTCTAAATTGCCAAACTCGCGGCCGGTTCTCGAACCGTGCTTCGACCTTGATTCCTGCTTCTTGCTGCATCATGTCCGTCCGATATTCATCCCGGAAGTCCGGTCTTTCTTTCTTGCTATGCTTCCTACCAATCCCTGTCTCTCGCATCTTCTGGTGAAGTGGCAAAGAACTAGAGAATTCGTGCCCAAACCTTCCCCGTGTTCGCGTAATGCCTGCTTTGCATTACGTTCAACCAGCAGTCGTAAACCTGTTCACCGGTTTCATCGTGCCCGCGTACATGCAGAAAACTGCTTGAACAGACAGGCGCAGGCAAGCCTGTGATGTCATATTTTGTCTGGCACGCGAAGATGGACAAAGCCACCTGGATGCAGTGAGTAAGAAAAGAAGACCTTGATGCCCGGAGAGGCCGCAACATCACCACGGCTCACATGAGATCAGTGATAAAACTGGCTGAGAAAGTGTGTCTCCGGCTACGGGTTGTATCCACTGAAACGACTGATAGTGGTTAGCAAGAAGTCGTGCACGAAGTGCCCGAAGTTGAAACTGGCCAAGTCGGATCTACGCAAATCTCGCCAAGTGGGGCAACAGAGCTACTTCCGCAGCCCTAGGAGCTTCAGGAAGTGCGGCAATGTTTCAGGGGAAAACCTGTGTTGGCCGGTCAACGCCGGCCCCGGCATCTCGAGACCCCTCCTTTGTCACTGCGGCGAAGGCACCACCACCACCGACGTGACTGCCTTGCCAAAGGATGGACTACGATGGACTGTGTGACAAATTGAGACTAACTGCCTTGTCATATTCTTTCTGCAATGCCTGTCCAAGACGAACGCCATGAACACAGCACTTCTCCTTGCATCCTGGCCGCGAACGTCACCAGGACCGACTGAGCCTCAACTTCACCGTCTTCTCGGCTGAATTCTGCGAAACGTCTCGATCACTCGAATGGCTCCTGTGCTCTAGCATTCCAGGCATACAGACATACATACATACATACATACATACATACACACAGACCGACGAGTTTCATGTACATACATGTGTGTATAAATAAATAAAAAGATAAATAAATATGTAAATAAATGTATATACATATTATATATATATATATTATATATATATACACACACACTCGACATTTCAGCAGCACAGATGCTACTGAGTACTCCCAAAGCCAAAACGTCTCGTGAGGGCTAGAGCCCGTGCCATTGCGCTTCTCTTCTAGGGCCACGGCCGTATATTGAACACAAATGAAGCCCACCATGAATGACTCCTCAGCTGACCACAGTGGAGTCACAGCCTTGTATGGTCCGCTTCTCGTTGCTGCACCATCTGCCAAAACCATGACAGCCCACGTCGAAGCCTCTTGGAACCACCAATCCCATATTCTCTAGAACCAAGCTGCTGCCACCGTGAAGAGCGACAGCAGGACATAGTTGGTAGGGCTCTTGCGCATCGTCTGCGGACCTCGATCGTGTCACACATCTGGGTTGATGACAGGGTACTACTGGAGCTCGCCATAAGGTTTACCGGTACTTCTGAGACACGACTCATTCCATCTGCTTTCACAGCTTGTTGAATGTTCTCCAAAGTCTGCTCTGAGAGCATGGCAGCATAAGAAGACTAGCATCGTTGAAATCGTAACTGCAATGGAGAACGTCATCACAATCCTCGACCAAATTTCACAGCATTGCAAGCAAGGAATATTTCGAGTTCCAGCTGGTGTCCCTGCTCGAAACCTGCGGCCCAGTTCTTGGGCAGGCCCCTCATACCACGATGTACCCAGCCTTGTTCCGAGTCAAGGCTCGGAATGGCAGCGGGGTTGGTCTGACGCAGTTGGAGGGCATACCTCATAGTCCTCAGCCAGCAACTTCTATCAAGGCTCCTGCTCCGTACGATTAAGTGAGCTCCATCGAATGCTGTGCTTTGCATTGACAGGTTGAAGTTGCAAAGAAGTCTCCCAGCAGCGATTGCCGTTGTCCTCGGCTGACTAGACTTGCATGTAACAGACTCTGGCGCCCGCAGTCTCTGGTACACGCAACTAAGTCCTCTTGGACCGCTTGTGACCAGAGCCGCGGCCTGGCTCACTATCAACCAGGCCTATGGCCTATGCGATGCTAAGCGGGCAAAGGTCACAATCAGCTGCATCGAGAGAATGCCATAGACTTTGCGCACGAAGCCATGCCGTACGACAGTGTCATGGATACCTGCCAGTTCCTGTAGCGCGCAGAACTCATGCCCGTCCGCACCATGCAAGGGCACTACATCAATTGACCTGCTGGATTCCAGCATACACTATCAAAGCTGCAAGCCAAACGGGACCATTGCCTGGCAGTTATGCCAGTGCTGCTAGGACCCACTTTATGCAGCCAAACAACCTCGCCCTCTCCACTCAATGGAGTCTGCTCGTTCATCTCCATTGTGAGGCAAGGCAGGGGTAGAGCCTAGTTAAAGCCTAGAAACCGCTTGGAGCCCAAAATCATCGAGAAGCACCATGCGAATCACTGCAAGCACGGCATTCACGAAAGACTCGACAACTGCAGATTGTCCCCTTCTCCGTCTACAAGCATGCACGCTGCCTCTTTCACATGGTGTAGGAGAGCCTGGCGACTCTCCTGTGGTCAGGAAGGCAAACCAAACACTTCGGGCTGCCTGCAACACACAAGGACTCGAATCACGCATATCTGCACGTCTGCACGTCCGTCGCACCCTGCTGCTTGGAATCGGTCGATCAGTTCAGGTGTGGCGCCTCTGTCTCTTTGCGTCGCTTTTCCTCAGCATCGCGCAGCTCCTGCACATCGCAATTGCTCATCCCTCTTGAAAAACCGCAATGTGCACAGAAACCCACGACCGGCGATGACAACGGGACTAGCTTAGCTGCAGCCTTCAAGGTCTTCAGGTTGTCCAGGGCCGCCTGAAAATGGCTTAGGCTCAGAGACTCCCGAAGAGGATCTCAGCCTAGGATGAGCCAGGGCCTTGAGGTCGAACGCACAGCCGTGCGCCTTCACCAGCTCGGCCTAGAAGGAACATGCAGAAGCGGCCCATAACATACCCAAACCAAACTGTGCTTTTTGTGATATGTGAAAGATATACGATGTAAACATAGATATGTATGTATGTGTGTGTATATATATACATACATATATGACAACTAGTCCAAGCCGTGCTCTCCCTGCACAATATGGCCTGGGCCGACTCCAGTTGGCTTTGTAGCACGCCTGCTCGCCGGCGCTCCTTGCGGTTCCGATTCTTCCGATCTTCCCAACATGACAGAGGCATACAAAGGCTCCTTCTTGCAAAAGAAAACACCTGCACCTCACAGCCTCACGACAATCTCCTATGCTGCTCCAGACTTCCTCAACACGGGCCTCTTCATGTCTACATCTATCTCTCTATCTTTACCTGTATACACAGAGGGGATGAGCAAGAACGAAATGTCGGCGAACTCCTCTTCAAGTTCACTTCTTTGGTGTCGCAGCTGGTCACCCAGCCTTGTGGGCCACGACAATCACTGGCAAAGCACATGTGACTCGAGGCTTATGCAGAGTGCATCGTGCTGGGAGACTGACTCTTCGTGGTGCTGATGTGCTTTGAGCTCTTGCCTGGCCAACATGAGCCAGCTGAAGGCAACGTCACAAGTTGAAAGTGACAAGAACGCTGAAAACATACAGTAAAATACAAGCATGAGCTTGTGCCTTCGGAAAGTCTCTGTCAGACGAGCCTGAAAGCTGCAAATGGCTACTGTTCGAAGGCAAACGTATCAAGCACAGAGTATGTCGGGATGGTCTGCACGTGCGACTGTACGATGTTCTAGCCTGGCGGACATCATGTTGCCGCCTTTCATCATGTAGAAGGGCAGAAAGCTTCGCCTCGCTGCTTTCCCACGTGTTCCCGCTTGGACATAGATGATGCTCCCTGCCTGATCTATCTCTCGCTGGCGATCTGAATCTTGCATCACTGCAAACATCTTCGCCTGGCAACGGAAGCAGGTGTCAGTAGCACCGATGGGGGTCTGGGAAACTACATCAGCTGAAACAGCAGTACCTGTCATCCAACAGGCATCCCTGTGTGTGATCCAACAAGCCGCACTATCCTCCAAAGGAAACCTACTGCTCATTGTCCTGAAGCTCTCGCACATTTGGCCCAGGTTGGTCTTACCCCGCACCCAACCCTTCTGCTTGTGTATGTATGAACCCGTTCGATATGATGCAACAGGTCAACGCGCACAGGCACTGCCTCCTGAACTTCACGCTGGTGCTTCGCATCGTCCAACTCTCCACGAAGCCTTGCCTTTTGCAGCGAGTTTGCTTTGGGCTCGATGGGGTGCTGGATGGTACAAGGCTCACGCGTCTTTTGTCTTGATCCCCACTGCGAGTAGAAACTGGAGAGCTGACTGACTATCACCCGATGCAAAATCTCCAAAGCTTGACTTCCAGAGCGATGCTTCTTCGGCCCTCAGTGCACCAACGTATGAAAACGCGCTTGAGACGAAGACGGAGACTGACCTCCCAATGACGTACCGAAACACCGGCCATCACCAGCCTCCAGCAAGTCCTTGTCCCTCGACACGTCATAGACCGAGTAGTTGATTTGAGCCTTCGGCGACCCAGTATCACTGCGAATTGACATGGGCGAGCGGTGTGCGCAAAGGTACTACTCACACGAGCATGTTTGTTCAGGCATCTGTAGGTAGGTGCAGACAGGAATGCAGGTGACAACTTGGCAATACATCGGCCGACGTCTTTGTGCAAATCCTGTAAGCGAGAGTGAACGCTGAAAGGGGGAGGGACAGAGACAAGTAAATACTGGTGACTAGGTGAGAGGTCTTGGAGCTAAGCCGGGTCGACAAAAAGCAGCACATTGTGCAGCCGCACGTGCGAGCGCAGATGGGTGTGCTGTTTTTGAGCTAAGCCCACACGATCCAAGGACCGACTTTGCCTGCAGCGCATCGCGCTGCCGCTCTGCCCCTGCCAGGCGCTGCAGAAAGCCTGCCTGTCAGATCAGCAGAGCGTTTGCTTCAGGGAGCCTTCTGCTGGGAGGCCTCCAGAAGCTCTCGCTCCCTGTTGGCATGTGCGGCCTGTCACACTCAGCATGAGAGGTGGACGATGTCAGGTTATGATGATGATATCATGTCGGATACGGCAAAATAAATAGCACTTCCAACATACTCAACACTCTGTCACTTCTGCAGTTTAGAACTCGCTCTCCAACCCCAAGTTGCGTTTCGGAAAACCGTAAACATCGGCATGCAGGCTCAAATCCCAAGAATAGTAGTCTTCAGCAGCCAGTGCCCAGACAGTCAAAACAAATCATTGAGTTGCCACCTTTTTGAACCGAGTTCTCTTTCTTTTGCGCTGAACGAAGGTCACGATGCGGCCGTTTTGCGGCCGGCACCAGAGTCACCTGTGCCAAGAGGGGGATGGAATGAAACTGCAGTGTCACAGGAACAGGGTCTTGCACATTCCGCAGACGGTATTCTCGCCGCCGAGCGTAAAGACAGGCGAGCTCTCTAAGGCCACCTTCGCACCAGCCAGGTGGTCAGGGCGCCACTGAGGCAGCCGATCAGAACAGCCACGCCTTGGCTCAGCTCAGCCCCCGCTGCACAGAGGCGCAGCATAGCATAGCATAGCGGGAATGAAAGTCTGCACCGAGCAAGTTCAATAGGCCGAGGCTCCGAGAGAGAGCATCTGCTGGCCTTGCTGTGAAGCTCTTTGGGCCGCGAACTCGTGATTAAGTCGAAGAAGAAATTCCTCCTCAAGAACGCTGCTTATTCCGTAGACGTGGTCGTTCCGAACCTGCCGGTCAGTCCTTCGTCTTCTCGTTCATGACCATACTGTGCTCGCTGTAGTCTCTTGTAATGACAGGAATGGCACCCCTGGGCCGGGAACAAGCAAAATGAAGTCGCTAGAGAAAGGTGCGCAGGTCCGGATTTAGCCGTGAGGCTTGTGGCTGATGCCATCAAAAGACCCTTTCCGGTTCTTTTGATCCTGGCACAGTGTCTTCCATCAGCTCCGTCACATCTCCACTAAGTGTCACATGTCTTTCTTGCCGGGTCTCTATCGCAAGGATTTCGTGCGAGACTATCTTCGAAATCTTGCTCGACTGCGGGCCGTGGCTAGTCCTTAGCTGCATATCCACCACCAGAGTCCCTGCCCTCAGGATTGGCCATGCGTGGCCGTGCAGCCGACTGACCGGACGGACCAATCCTAAGCGGCCGGATGGGAAGAAGAATCAAAAGATGAACTCGGTGAGTGCAACTTCCGCCTCTCGGAGCCTGGCCAAAGCCTCGCCCATCTCCTCCTGAAGGCTTTCCTGCTGGATCGAGGCATCCATGAGCGTGCTGAGATCCTGAAGTCGCCAAAGTCTCTTGTGCTTCCATCGGCAAGGTGGGCGCTCAGCCCAAATGGGCACCTGGTCCTCACCCGGCAAGGCAGCAGCGAAGGGCCGGATCTTGGCAGATCCATCACTCGTTGTGAAACATGGTGAAGCTGACCCCGTTTCCGCATGTCTTCGTCGCTGCTCAACCACTTTAATTGGACAGCCCTCCGACAAGCGTGACAAGTAGCTTTGGGCTCGGAGTCCAAGCCGAAGCCGGCAAAGTCAGACCTGCAGCCATCATTGAGCCAAGATGCTCCGATGTGATTTTCATGTTTCCCGATTCCCTGCACTGGCAGCCGCGATGCTGCTGTAAGCGCCGAGTCGGGGAGAGAAGCAGTAAGTTGCACATGACGCCGACATCGTCAGTGTCATCCGCCTCACGAGCATCACAAGCTTAGCGCCGCCATCATCTCTAAACCTTTGGCAAAACCCTAAATTGCTAAGACCAACAGCCGAGAGTCGCTAGCTTCCAGCAGATGGAGCTCCTCCTGATAGACCCTCTTGCGATACGCAATCCTGGCAATCATCTTAGACTTGGTCCCTGACGGTAAATGTACGGCAGTGTAAATTTTTTGCATGCTCTTGCCAAGCCACAGCCGTGACAAGCCGTTTCGCGCAATGGAAGAACCGGTTCGTGTGCTAGAAGCGCACCGAGTGGATACTTCGCGCATGGTGCATTCGTTTGCGGGCTGATTCATACATGGGATGGCAGATTCGCATGTTGACGCGGGGGACCGCGAGATCACACTCAGGGTTCGCGCGTGAGCCCAACAACCCTAGACCCTTAAAATCTTGCAACTTGAAACCTACCCAAACCGAAAAGACTTCAACGCAAAGCACCATGAACCCTGAAAACCGTGAACCCTCAAAGCTGTTAACCCCTTAACTAAACAACCCTGAAATCGTAAAGTGGGAAACACTAAAGCAAACAACGAAACCAAACCCTAAAAACCTTGTTAAATTTATGCCAGCGCAGACCCCAGACAGTGAAAGACCGCACACCATGTGCTGCCAGGACGTTTTACATTCCGAGCTCTTGGAATGCAACGATGATTCCAACATTGTAAAAGCCTTCAACCGTCTTGAACCGCCCGTGCTTGAATAGCATGTGCTTGAATTGAGCATGGTGGAAACCTCAACAACTGAACGGACGCTTATGCTGCACATTTGAATCAGGATGGTGCTCGAATGGCACATTCCCCTTTCTTGCTAATCGCACGCGAATCTCACTGCACCGCTGAAGTTACACCCAGCCGATGCCTCAAAGAGCTAGACTAGAAACGCTCAAGAATATACCTCAGCAACGAGTCTCGTTCTCGTGCTAAGCCTCGTTACTTAACACCTGTCCGATAGAGTGGGTCTAGCAGAAGTAATGCAACAAGTGCAACTTAATCAAGCAACCCACACGTCCTCAGGTTCGGTACATTCGTCGAGGTAGTCTTGTTCTCGTGGCGATAATCCTTGGAGCCAAACCATGTTGCCTGAGCAGGACACCGGAACGAGTAATTGAAGTTTGGCGGTTCGGCCTTAAAGCAGTTGTTCAGTTCAACCCACCAAGTTTACGAGAGCATTCTAAGATCATCTCCAAAAAAACCGAAAGGACATGATGAAAACTTAACCTGTTGGATGGAAACCGCGATCATGTAAAAGCTCTCTCCGCTCCGTTCGAAGCATGGGGCCTTGGTCTCCTCGTCAAAGCCGCTCTGCAGCACAGAGTTCCGGGCCATCTCGCAAAGGTCCACGGAAGTGAAGTGCCAGAGCTGCTTGGCGATGCTATACCTACCGTCCATGTACAGTCTGATGAATGCCACCTATGTCAGGAAATGTTGAGACGTGCTAAGGAAGTCTGTAAAACTCATTGCACTGTAATTCAGCCCTGCTTTGTGCTGCAGAAAATAGAAAAATGTTCTAGCCTTTGCAGGCTCGGAGAACCCAGAGGTGGTTTTGGTTTACTTTGGCCTAGGAGTCGCGAACTTTTGGTCCTTTTCGTCCAAGCTTGTTCTGCTTTGGTGAACGCGCCGACAACGTTTGGGGGAATCCGAATCTGGAATGTGCGAGAGCAAGGAGTTTCATTCCACACTTTCATGGCAGAGATTTTGAACTTAATTTTATCTCTCCTTCTCTGCTGACTCTCATTCCAGCAAAGCTGCTCTTCCATCAGCGGCTCCTGGCACTGGGCTCGGACTGCTAACAGCATCATTGCAGCTTCTCGTGCTTCTTGCAATGAGAGTGCTTATCGGCATATCACAAGTGAATACTATGTTCTGCAAAGCACGTGCCCAGCAAGCGTGTCGCAGTTCTGCGCCTTCGTCTGGTGGAACATCAGCGGGTCGTCTGTCGACAACGACACGTTCAGGCCACGTGAGAAGTAGACCGGAAACGGGCTCTTCTCGTATGCAAGGAACCTTGGCAAGATCACTCTAATGTCGTCCCGTGTACTCTATGCGGTTGACTGCTGAAGTGGACCAGAGTTTGATCACAGCTTCCTGTCTTGGAACCGGAGGCTCATGTCCGCGCGAAACAATCTGCTCCTGTTGCCCTACCATGATAGAAACCCTATTGTAATAGAAACCCAGGCACCTATCGCCTGCTTGCTTGGCCATGGCATTTGCATGCTGAGTGGCAGTTGATTGTTCGAACAGGGAGACATGGCCAGCCCAATCTGGGCCAGGTAGAACAAGTACTGCCTGAGCATAGCCATGGTCATTCAGACAGGAAGTCACGTGAACAATCTGAAGCCAGGCGGCAACCCCATCGACTTTCGCAAGTTCAGGCCATGATTGATTCCTTGCAACAAGACATATTCTGCACGTCTAAAGCCTGCAGTAAGCAAGCTTTCTGCCGGGGGCAAGTTCGCATAGGTTGCCGGAGCATTGACGAGAGGCAGTCATCGATCCACATGGCAGTCTTAGCCTGCTTTGGAAAAACAGTTCGTGACTGCAACGTTGGGCTTTGCCCAGAGACCCACGTCAAATGGCGCCAAGGACACACCCAAGCCCTCGACTAAACGTGCCAAGATGAGGTGCAAATGACTGTACACTTGGTGCAGGCCTCCGATGATCTGAGGATCTCCACACACGCTTGAGTTCGTCGTCAAGTGCCACTTACCACCCGTCAATTTCCCCATGGCCCTGCGCGGATCGTTGGCAGGTATGATGTCGTCTAGTCTGACTGGCCCTTTCACACCGATCCAGGCCCAAAGCTTTCTCAGCACGAGGGAAGGCTTTCGGAAAAGCTGCTCCGTCTGCACCACCCGCAGCCACTTCGACGGACAACCACCAATAAAGCGCACCATTGAGAGCAGCTGTGGGAGGTAGTAGGACGTGAGAGGTCCGCGCTTCAGTGCGCACACTACGTGCCAAGTGTTTGCGTCACAAAGAGAATAGATGGCTTTTACGTATGCACGCAAGACCCCATCCATCCTATGAAGGTCGCTTCCAGTGGTCAAGTGTTCGACTATCTCTATATGCATTTCTCGGAAGACCGGATCATGCATCGCACGGAAAGCATACTCCTCAAAGGTTTTACCAAAGTTACTTACCTGCAAATTGCGGTCCACAACTGCGGATTGCCATATGCTGTAATGGCGAAACGCAGAGATCAAGCGCAAGATCGGATGGCGCAGCATGGCAATAATCTTGCTGCCGGATGCAACGAACGGTCTCAAGGCAACATGCACATGGGGCCAGACCAGGTATTCAGGTGTTTTTTCCACTGTAAATGTCGCATTGGTTTCGACTCGGTGGCTTCTACCGCTGGTGGCAGTGCTGTTTTCGAAGGCTTCATTGCCGACAATATTCCCAAACACTGCAGTGCGATAGCCTTCAGGTGAACAAGCCTTGCGCGACAGCACTCGACGTACCGCTGCTGGGAAGGAAGTGGCATCACCACACTGCCATCCTCTCCAAGATAGATGCTCATCTTGTACAATTGGAAGCAGCTCAGGTATCCAATAGAAAGATTCGCCGCTGAGCTGCGCTGCCCTGCCTACTTTGGGTACATAAGCAGGCGGGCTACATACCTCCATCAGAGAGACCAGCATACTCGTTCCGGCTTTGGCAGCGCCAACAACGACGACACTGGGCAACGGGCGGGTGCCCAGAAGCTCCGGTGCAAGAAGAGGGCAGCTGCAGTTGGAAACAGTTTGCAAGGAATGGCAGCCTGGCAAATCCCTGAGTAGCTCCCGATTTATGGCCCGGAAGCTCTCGCTCAAGAAAGCATCCACTGGGTTGAACCAGATAACACCGGCCTTTTCATCAACCTCTGCAGACATACGCACAGCAGACAGCCTTGGCCACACTGCCAATGCTGCCAATGCAGCCAACAGCCCGGGTCTGGCAAGAGTGGGAGGCGCAACGTGGCCCTGCATGTGTCAAAAAAGCAGGATGCTAAAGTAGCTGCCATTGGACTCGTTGACATCGAAGACCGCCACACATATCGGCCATCGCGAGACAGGTCCCGAGCCTACGCGTGCGCGTGACTTTGCTTCAAGTACTCAGCTTGCAATGCTCTCGCCGCCCTTTCTTGTCTCAGCCTGCATACTTAGACCGCTCCCGGCAAGATCAGCTTGATGGGAGGATGCATCGAGAAAGCAACCGTGAACTTGCAAAATCTCACTACAAGCTCGCTATTGCTCGCCCTCCGCATGTGAAGTGCCCTTGCGAGATTCAATATTCATTTACCAGAGCCCGAACTCACCCTCAGATAAGCTGCTGCCATCAAACCCCAATAGAAGGACCGCCCATGACTTCCTGGAGGAGTAACCAAAGACCGACTGCTGAAGCGGCCCAGGCACCATCCGCTAGCAGAAATGCTGTGTCTAGATGATGAACTTCGCCTGCCTGTGCAAAGCAGGATTCTGTCATCTGAATCTGAACTGGCACAGGCACAAGCTCAAACTTGCCGAGGCTTCCAGCCCAACTCATCGGGAGTTATCCGGTGCCAATCTGCACATGCCCAAGTCCTAGCTTCAAGGTCCTGTACCACCCAATTCGTTAACTGATGCAGGGGATCTGTACGCCGAATTTACACGCGGATGCCGCAACTTTGCGACTCAGGCCTGCTGAAAAACCCTAAAATCCTAGACGACACTCAAGAAACCCGGTGCCCTAAACCGCTATATCGTAAGAACACTAAACCCACCAAATCCTGTACCCAAATATCCAAAACAGTTGAACCCTCAAAACAGGAGACCCTTTTTGTTGATCGGCTCTTTTGACAAAAAGCAAAGTTCTCAATACCGACTTGGTAGAACGTGGGCTTCGTTGGACGAAGGCTGCCAGAAAACTTTACCACGCTTAAACAAAACTAAACCCGTCAAACCCCCTAAACCCGAAATCCCACAAACACTGAAACCCATGAACTCACAAACTCTAAAGCCTGCTGAATCGCACGTACATAAATCGCGGCTAGTTGTCGAATCGAGCTTCAACCCGTGAAAGACTGGTTGAAGGCTGAAGGTGTGAGGTCTGTGTTGAGCGTCCTACTCGGTTGCCACGCCGGCGCAGGAAGCATCACACTGGCAGGCCTCTCCGGCGTGCGGCCTATAGTCGAAGGTATTGAGGCCCAACCTTCTGCCAGGGACTTGATGGGCTCACTGATCCCAAACCAGGACTTTGGTGTGTCAGGACACGTACAGTACCGCTTTGCCACAGGCCGTTGCTGCCATGTGCGACCAAGTCATCCAAGCTGCTGGTGTCTGAGCATGTTCAGCAAGCGCAGATTCGTCTGGATAAAGTATGAATAGTACTTGTAAGACCTTAGCTTCGACTCTGCAGACTCTGCAGACTGTCGAACAACGCCACCGAGGACACAAGCGTCAATGAGGATGCATGGCATTGCAGAGCCAGGCAGGATCCTCCGAGGCTTCTGCGGATTGTCCCCAATGTCCCAGAGCTGTGGCGGCCGGGACTTTGACGAGAACGTCCGGTCAACCGGTTTCTCAGACTTGCTCTCGTCGTCTACGGTGTCGAAACCTCGGCAGGAGGTATCGATCAATGCCTGGAACTCCGATGAATTAAGGTCTCCCTGAGAAACGCTCGCAAGTCACAGGCAGCAGAACCCAGGCCCAAAACTCCAAACTTGGAGTAGCAGCCTATCACCCCCCGATTCCGTACATGACAATACCAGAGACCCAAGCCCCTGGCCGCTAATGTGCTGGAGGAACTCCGCAACAACGGCATGCTTCTCTGGGAAGAGCGTGGCTTCCTCATGCACATCTGCAGGCGCCCGTTTGGAGTTTGCGCGGCACCAGCAAGGCTGAGCTCGGTTCAAAGAGCGGAGTGAAGATATTTTCAAGCCTCAGTCTTGGAGAGATTGCTCTGACCTCGACGTGCATACAAGCGATGCCACGACTTGCCATTAAAAAATTCGGAAGACGGCCGGACAATTGGCCTGTTTTTTTCAGACTGTCTGGTTTTTTGAACGAGAGCTTGAGCTTCTAAACCATCTGCTGAGCAAGTCCCAGGAGGCCTCATGCCGAGCATGGGCGCTTGGTGCCATTCGCGCCAGCGCGATGTGAGCCCACCGCCCAGAAGGAGGGAGGGAGAGAAGGGAAGGGAGGGAAGGGGCAGGGGGGAAGAGAGGGAGAGGGCGTTGCGCAGCAACCACGTCACGACATGCACAACCACACCACGACGCGGAACCTCGACTTACAATGCAACGCAACGGCCGAAGCACACTATGTCAATGACAAGTCTGCTTCGCGTGATAGGATCGGTCCGCGGCAGCCAAACTTTACACCCATGAAGATTGCCAGCGTCCCCCAGCACAAGGTCAAAGGATGTAGCTTTGCTTTCCTCACGATGGGCTCAAGGATGTGCACCGGGAACCACACCGCGGCCGTAAATTGCCCACTCGGCCGAAAGGCCAGGTGCCTAGTGGCTTAGCTTCTTTCGGAATCCCCCATCACCCGGTGCAGCGTCAAGAGAAGCTACACCAAGAGCAGTATCAGCAAGAAAGGCAAAACAGCGGCACAGGGTCTGCAGGAACCATTGCATCCAGACCCACCCCGTGAACGCCTTGAGAAATTGCACATAATTCGCTATCGCTCGCACACACGGCGACGTCGCGGAAGCACTCGTACAAGGCCAGAGACGAGCCATCTGCTACCATGGCTGGAAGCAAAGTGGTCATTGTTGCTGCCTGGTGGCATCTGGCCGAAGTTGTCCAACTGACCGGTTGACTTGTACCTGACTTCTCAAGACCAGCATTTTGTGACCCAGTGCCTTGGGTCGCTCGGCATGCTATCGGGCTGCAAGGAAAAGAGTCGTGGGATCTGAATCATCCATCGGATGTTCGGTGAGAGAAGGGCTTTGCCACATCCTTTGCCAGTGCCCGGCTGTGGCCGTTGCGAAATAGCCTAGAGAAGTCGAAGGACTACACGCAGCCATGCATCCTTTGCCGCCACGTCCAAGGACCCACTTGCTCAAGCTCTCCCACTCTGACATCTTGCCTTGGTGCACGATGCTTGGCACAAGCTAGGACGACCTGATCTGCACAGCATGTCACGTCTGAGTGGGGCAGCACTGCAGGGGAAGCATGCTGGGACTGCCTTGAGTGTCAGCCCAAGCTGCGGCCATAGATGGAGAGTCGCCACTCCGCGTGTTGATACTTCGACTCTTCCAGGTCGGAGATCAACTCCTTGCCATGCATGTTGGTGGAAAGCAAAGCTCAGACCTCCAGTTTCTCAACAATCGGCCCTTGTTCTTGTTTTGAGGTCCGTTTGGCAACGGTGATGACAAGGAGCAGTCGTGAGCTCGGCGAGGTATCGTCCGCCCATCGCATTGTCCTCGGATGTACTGAAACAATGGTTTCAAAACACTCGGTTCCCCCATCCGTCTGCACGGAGGAATATGGAACCTGACAAGGCCTTGCTACTGTCGAGCCCGGCCCCTCCACATCTCGATGTAGCAACAGAGGCCTTCTCCATGGGTTCGGTATGCTTACGTTGTAGATTGTTGTAGGTGTGGTCGAGGGCAGGTTTAACAAGACGATTTCTTCGACACTAAGGCTGCCAGTGAACCACAGGAAAGCCAAGCAGCGGTCTTGAGGAAAATCGTGCGAAGCTCATTCTGCCCCATTGGAGAATACCTTGAATGAAGGCAAGAATCCGGCGCGAAGCCTAGCCACTGTTTCTTGAGTCGAGAAAAGTCCTGTACTGTCAACTTAACTTCATGACGTGGAACTTCTGGTATAACTACAGTAGCCATGCGCAATAAACAGAGTCCTTCCCGGAGGAATTGGGAAGGAGGAAGGTGTTTCGGGGATTCACAGCTGTCCTCATGTACCTCTGCTTTCAGCGCGCACTACTCATTGTGTAAGAGAGCCGCGTGTTGCTGCAGCTGCGTCGAAAGAGAAGATGTAAACGGCAAAAAGTTGCGGGTACCTACACAAGGCGTTCGGCTATTGCTGCTGCATGTCTTGCTACGACCGCCAAGGCGAGCATTGACACCGGAATAGAGAAAGTAGCGATTGCTCGTCCAGCGACACGTGCTACACGGGTAGCTACAGTAGTTTCTTCGCGTGGGTACTGTGAGCATAGAGCTGACAGTCATGTCTAGCGCTGAGAGATGGCAACGATAATTCCCAATACTAAAAAGAAGGCAGTGCTTCGCGGTATTCGTGTGAGCGGATGGGGGTCGGGCCCTGACACGGAATCCGGGACTGCCCCGTCAGTCTTCATCTCTGCCAGGGCTCTTGTTGTTGAAACGATCGAAGCGATGCAGGCAGCTTTTATCCGCCCACACCTGGACAGTGTGCTGGGTTGATCTTGTGTTTGCACACCTCAAACGGAATGACACAATGCCCACCAGCCGGCTAAAGAGAGGAGTGCACACCGCCAGTGGTGCCAGCTATGCTTTGCCGATCTTTGCCGGCCTGCAAGCGGTCGATGCACAGGTCGGTCCAGCCGATGCCCATGTCCTTAATAGTTGGGATTCGGAATTGCTTCAAAGATCCGGGAACTCGCATGAAACGAGTCTCGTCGAAGACTGTCTTGAGCGTCCGCTCCTTTCCATCCTTTACCTTGCGTGACGCTTAAAGCAGGGCGTGATGCTACGCAGGGGGTGAGCAATGCATTTGATGCTGAGGAAAGACGCCGCTCTAGAATGGAGTGTCAAGCAAGTGACATCGACCACGTCGGAGGAGAATCTCTTCAGCTTCTTTTTCATGAACCGCAGCAAGTGCTTGGCATTCATGGCCTGGGAGCCCCGGAGCCGTTTACGCCACCATTGCCCAATTTTCAAAAAAACGACCCAAACAAGCGGCAGCTGAGTGATGAATGTGGGTGTCCACCTTCCTGACGTTGTAGAAATCCTGATTCGGAGTAGATGGCCGCAGCCCTCAAAGCATAAAATTGAATGAAATGTGCATCCACGGATCTCTGTGCCCTGTCTCCATCGCGTCCTGCTTTCAACATGAGCCGAGCTCGACCTGTGTTGACCTTACAAGAACCTGTCCCGAGCTGGATCTGCAGCCTACAGCTGCCGTCCTGAGCTTCCTGGTCCCCGAAGACCTTACAAGAAGGGTCTGGAAGAGAACACCGACAGCAGAAAGGCTCATAATTAGCCAAGTCGCCATGGTGTACAGCTCAAACTTTGTCTGTAGCAATCTCAGCCTCTGGTACGCATAGCTGGAAACAGGTCCAGAAGACCTGGCAGCAGGCACTCGGTGACTCCGGACTTCGGCAGTGAGAGGTGAGAGGACGCAGGCCTGATCTGAAATAGTGTATTCCTCACACGCATGAAAGAGTCTGAGCAAAGAACCTACACAGCTACACAGGGCTGAGCAACATGGTTCGCGGAATAAGGCAGCTTGGGTGCATGTCATCGTAGTATTCGTCCAGGCTCGGCACTTCGAAGAGCGACTGTTCAGAGCCCTTCTCTCCTCATAGAAGCTGTTGGAAAAGCAATGGAGCGGCTGCGGCTCCCTGGTTCTGCCAGTGCAGCAGAGCAGCGAACCTGGAGCAAACCATCCTGCCACTTCAACTCCAGATTTCCCGACTTTGGGAAGGAGCTCCTGTAGGAACTTCCACACACTTCGGCCCTTGCTTTTGCCTTCTTGGGGCTCCTCTTTGGCGGCAGCTTTTCGCAGTATTTTGCCCGAAGTTCTAGAGCTTGTCGAAGCTGGGCACCTCGCTTGCATCTTGAATTCTCCATCCTGGTTTTGAGATACTGCGAATGAGCAAAGCCAAGGCACAAATCTCTTCCCGGCTGCTATCACCCATGGTTTAAGGCCTTGGCACGCGACGCTCCATTTGGCTTACCAGTTGAAAAGGCACACCACAACTGAGCAGTAAGGCTGGGTGATGTACATGCACAATGACCAACTTAATGCCAAGAAGCGTGGCAGCAAGCAAGAAATGCACCAAAGGCTCGACAAGCTGGATTGTGACTTGTGTAATTTTTGGGGTCGGGTGGCGACTAGACGACACTGCAACGAAGCTGGAGAGGTTGAGTATGCAGCAAGGCAGCAGACGGCGGAAGTCTGTCTGCACCCTGTTAGTGTTGATGTGGTCAAAGTTGCAAAGTAGATACTCAACGAAATGGTAATCGTGCTAACAGTATCGTCAGGTCTTGGGCGGTTGATTGACCCGGCTCGGGCTCTGAAAGCTATGAGCAGGCACTGGGCGGAAGCCAACTCAAGTACTAGTCCACGGCCATGCAGCAACCCGCAAGAACGCTCGGAGCCTGTGCTTGCAACTGGGCTTGAAGCTCCTCACGCACTCGCACCTGTCAGGTCAGCTTCTTCCCGGCTGAAGGCACGGCGGCCTGCTGTGGCCTGGCCTCTGCTTTCTCCACTTCGTCTTGCATCTTCGCCTCCACGCTGCGTGTTGCACACACGAGTAGCTACGATTCGAGCTGATTCCGAACACCCGAAAGTTCGCTCGCTGAGTCCCACCTGCAGGGCAGCCTGCGCTTCGAGACTGGCTTCCCTCTCCTAGGAGGCGGGGAAGCAAAGGACGCCGAGTGGACTGGACGCGGCCAGGCCTTCTGTCGTACGGCTTGGCAGCCTTGGAGACGAAGCTCCTCAGTCCCGAGCTTCCGAAGCCCTCAGTCGGAGCCTTTCTCCTGAGGTCGGAGCCAGGCCGCGCAAATGCCAGCGCCGCATGTCCTCCTTCAGAGTGCTGTCACAACACGGTGCCAGGCAGAGGGCCGATCAATATTCCCTTTTAGATTTAGATCCTTTTCGTCTACCTCCCGATGAATATGGATTGGTTCATGAGACAATGCATGACTCGCACAACTGAATTCGGTAAACAAGAAGCACAGACGCTTCTGCTGTTTTTCATCTTCGGCACTGGCTGGGCAGCACTGATGGCTTGTGCTCTTTTCCGGCCCATGGCCACAAGTCAGGATATCCACAACTTCATTGGGGGTATAAAGAACATTCAAGGCTGTGAACACATGAAGTCTGTGACATTAGTTAACTTCGTGCGAAGTAGACAACATGGCGATGTTCGTGATGGCGGGGCGCCACGGCCCTGCTTCCTTTCCGCATTCCTGCGGCCTCCGTCACATCTTGGCATCGGGTGTCAAGATGGCCCCGCAGCACGCGCATATCTCACTTGCATCATGGTCATAGTATGTCATAGTGCTCGGTCAAGACATTCAGTGAATGATGAGAGATTGCCTGGTGGAATCAGCTGCAGGCTTATGCCGTACGCGTGAGATCCTCATCGTCTTGCCAGAGAGAGGTGCTGACGAGGAAGCCCATGCCTGTTTAATCGCAATCGCACGTGCGAGTTTGAGTTTTGGGGGGCGGAGCAGCCGCTACGCCTTCTTTCCAAGCCGTGACGCAGCTTGCCAGGAGATGGCGGCATCTTTGCCTCCAGAATGTTGCAGAATCTCGGAGAGATGCAAGGACACAAGGAGCCGGCCTGAACCGCTGCTCCGACAGCAGCAGAGCCTCAACAGAAGATGCCTTGAAGCCCATTAGCCAGGGTGCTATGTTCTGAGATCGCGGCACCCTCGGAGGCGCAGGGCGGTGGATCCTCATCACCTTGTAAATAGTCAAAACACCTGTCCCGTTGCTGACCGCCTCTCGCCTCCTGAGGTTCCCGCCGAGTACGTGCCATCCTTGGTCCATCGGCCTGGAGGGCACAACGGGACGCGTAGCGAAAGGGCAGCGACCGCGTCAGCGGCCGCTGGGATGCGCAGGGGGACTCGCGGCCCGGCCTCGCCGTCCTCTGCTCAGCTTCGCCTGGGACGTAGCCGGCCGGATCCTACCAGCGGAAGTCTCTCTTCACGTGAAAGCCTTGGACTCTCCAAAGGGCGCCTCCTCTCGGTCGTCGATCGGAAGCTTGCTTGCGTGTGACTGGTCGAACTGTTCTGCCACAGAATCGGCTGGCTCGTCCTCCTCCGATTGGATTTCAGATCGATGCTCGTACTGCTCTGAGTCTTCTCCATGGAGCGGTGATGGTGCCCCAGAAACTTCATGATCTCGCGCGGCGACTGAGACGACTTCTGCACTTTGAGATTGTGGCAAAGATGCTTCCTCACGGAGCCTTAGCGAAGCCACAAGCACCAAAAACGGTGAGCAATGACGGAATCACGACTTGTGCCGCCAGGTCACGCGGGCACTTCCTGTGACGGTGGTAGGGCGAACCTTATTCCGGAAACCCTTGAGGGAGCAGAAACGAGCAGAGAGTTCAGAGTGCCAACTGCATCCGAGAAGCGCATCTGGCTGTGACTTCAGTGGGCCTGGCTGCAATGCTGTCGTTGAAGCATCCGATTCCAACGACATCGCCACAGTGTGCTCCTGAAAGAAACAACAATCAAAGGGATGCAGAACGTGTTTGACGATGCCTGGCAACCAGAAACCCTACGATTTCTGACTGGCTGCCGAAGAGACACTTCCTGGTCGCGTCGAGGGGGTGAAGAAGGAATCCCAGCAGGCTCCGTCTGCTGTTGCTCCAAGCCGCCCAGCTCGTCCACATCTGAAGGCCTTTTGACAAACGTTTTTACGAAATCGCGCGGCTACTGAAGGCAGGGAAGCGCCTGCTTAGCGGATCCTGCTCGCTTGACGGCAGCTCTGCCGCAGCAGACACGGCAATGGGCCTCAAATGCTTGGTCCGTTCGGTGGGTGTGGCTGGAGGGAGCTCTGCATCTGTTTCTGCCGGGCCACGAAAGGGCTTCGCGAACCGCACCATCCGTCTGCGAAAGCGGATTATCATGCTGTACTTCATTGGCCGGCTCCGTCTGCACAGACCTTGCACGGTTCGGAAAGTGCAATGCGCATCGAACGGAACTCCGTAGCTGTCGGGAGATTCATCTTCATGTCACTGCCCCAGGGCAAGAGTCGGCTCTGCATGCTCGAGAGGCCCTTCGCATGGCTAAGGCGAAAGGCTGGCGGCTGCGTCGACGTCCGAGGCCGAGCTGACGGTATGCGGCACCTCTGAAACTCCATGGAAATGTCCGAAATGCATGTGCCTTTTACGGCCGCTGCTGGCCATGGCTATGGCTCTCTCTCATATGCTCTTCCGGCCCAGGCACTGCCGAGCACCACAGAGGCCGAAGAGTGGCGGGCTGGGGCTTCTGCAGCAGCACGCCAGCCACGGAAGGCACGGGCAGACAAGCGCAGCGCCGCCTGTTGCAGATGTGCCGTGCACTCAGCACACTCACGGATCTCAAGCCTCGTCCCAAACGTCTCCTTCGCCGCCGTCATCCTTGCTGTGCTCAGGCTCTCTACCTATATACATCTATGCCACTTGTAAGTGACACTCTGGTGTAGTATACGTCCTTTGTCTTGAAAGCGCGATGCCGAAAGCTCGGGACTAGCGACAAAACGTTAAAGTGCAGATGAAGATAAACTAATGCTCAAGCAATTCCCCAAGCTTCCAGGCTTCCAGACCCTACACTCAGACGGTATGTCTCAACCACTTGCCAGGCGTCGGTGCATCAACATTGAGACGGAGCAACTTAGTCACGGGTCAATTACTGTTAAGGATGTGCTCCTGAAGCACTACGGTAGCCCTCTATTCCACGGGTTCGGTGGGAGCGAGCAGGCACGTTCTTGCTAAATTTGCGCTACCCAAACACTTCATGCTGCTGCGACAGGCACTGAAATAATTGTCATGCAGTCACATCGGGGCTCGTCCGAGGAGGTCAGTTAGCTTGGGTGGATAGGTAGGTGGGTCCGGTATCCCAGCGAGGCTCGAATCGCCAGTAGTTTGCGGCAGGAAGCGCGTAGCAGGGCGGGTAATGGGCCGACGTGGCATGTGGCGGCGGAACGCCAGTCTTCTGGAAGCCGCTGTGTGCCGTCTCCCGAGAGTGGCTTGTCATTGTATGGCGCTGCAACCTTTGCATAGACTTGGCTGCCCGGAAGGGCGACATCAGACATTGTGCTGAACTATGCCTTCAAGAGTTGACGAGTTGTCCTGGCAATATTTTCCGCTGACACTGGCGGCATGCTACTGCATTCTGATGGTGCTGATGAGTGTGGGTGTGGTTGAAAGTTGTCCGTCCAACCACAGTATGTGTGATGAAGTGCACATCACGGCTGTCTGTCATGGGACTGGGGAGTCACTTGAATATGTACACAAAGGCGAGCTGCTTGCAGCGAACAAGCATGTTGCTAAGATTTGCTAAGGTTTCGGTCTTGCAGCGGGCGGTCTTCAAACAGGGCATGCTCGAGGAGAAGGAAGTTTCGAGTCCTCTCTGTGATGCTTGCTGGGGGGCTCTCCTGCTTGGAGCACGGCTTTCGGACAGGACGACCAGTGGCGGAGATGATGCCTTCAAATTGTATTGATTCTGGCAATCATATGCCCTGCGGTGATCGTCGATCTCGAGCAAACATTTGCGCATGGTTTGGCCGCAAATGCGGCCGGGGTGCCGAGTGGATCTAATAGGACAGCATGCATGACAAGCTTGAGGTTGATGGCCGTGGCAGTAGCTGTACGACGGCTGTTGCGAACCTGTTCGTGCACCCGGCGGCTCGTGCCGTCGTTGTAAGAAGGTGCGGCCGGCAATTTCCAAATTGATCTGCCGGATGCTCCAGGGTACTTCAGCACACAGATACGACTGATGCTGCAAGACTAGAGGATGTGATGAATTCGGTTCGGGGAGACCGAGTCCATCTGTGCAGGGGTGAGGGTTGCAACAGCAACCGACGGAACGGGAACTGACTAGGACGTAGCAGGAGCCAGGGGGACATCGGTTTTTGGGTTGTGACTTTAAGCTACAGGGTGTACTCTTGGAGCGCCCTTCGAACTCCTCTATAAAGCGAAGCCCTTCAAAGGCCCTTATTCACAAGCCCTTACTAGAAACCCTCAGAAGCCCTTTCGAAACTTATAAACGCTTTAGTTAAACCTCAACCCTAAACCATAAGGACCCTTAAACCCTAAACCCTAAGACAAAAACCTTGCCTGTCCACTTCCTGTCCTTTTCCTGTTCGTCTCCTCCCTATCCTCTTCCTCTCCTCTTCCTCTCCTCTCCCTAAACTAAACCCTAAACCCTCGACCCTAAATCCAGAAATCCACCCCCCTTCAAAACTCATCGACTCTAGCTTACAACTTTATCATGAAAGCTCTACACTTCCTCTATTCGTACACCCCCCCCAGAACCTCCTCTCCCCAACACCCCAAACCCTATACCCTATATCTTAAACCCTAACCCACCCTCAACCCTAAACTTTTGCTCCAACCCCCTGGTTCAAGTTACAGCGTTTACTCATCGGGCAGCGCTGGTGCGAGTTGGGGCCATCTATGGTCTATGGTCGGGCAGCCCTTACTTACCCTTTTGGCTTTGTTTGCCACGCTTCCTTGAGAAATCCCGAATTCCTTAAACGTAGTTCCACTCTGTTGGGGGGGCCGCCGCATACAAGGCTTGCTCTTGCGATCAGCCATTGGTCCGAAGTGCGGACTACGATGACGAAACCCCGATATCAAATCCGAAACTGACCCTCTACTCGAAATCCTAATCTAAAAACAGGCAGGAGCTGGAGGCATTGGATTGCATAGCACTAGAAGAACCGATTCGCACACTGAGCAACGCAGTGAAAAAATCCATGAAAACACCTCATCTCAAAAAAACATTATATCAAAAGACATGAATGACGTAAACCCTAAAAGCAGTGAACCCTTAAAGCCGGAAGCCGGGATCAAGGACACGAACGAAGAACACTGACGGACCCTAAACCCTAAACCCGAACCAAGACCTCAACCCTAGACGCCCTACACCGTAAAAACCTTCGGCGATTCAACCCGAGCCAAAAATCCCGAACCCGAAAAGCCCAACACCCTAAACCTTAATTGCTTTGAAAAAGTAGGCAACGAGATAAACAACATTGAACCCTCAAAAGCAGCTCGAGTTTGAATCGTGAAAACCCTGCACCCTTAAAACCCTAAACCCTCTGCAGGGCGCACACTCGTGCATGCTTGAATCGCACGTGCTTTGTGGTTGAATCGCTGTGCTGCCTGAATCGCGGCGTCTTAACGAGGGCTGAAGGCGAGAGCCTAGTTCAAGGTTCCCAACTCCAGATCCTGCACTCAAAACCCTGTTTTGGTTATGCACAGGCTTGGGACCGTCCGAGATTGACATGCAAGTCAAGGCTCTGCTGCGGGTGATCTGTCCCCCTGCAGCATGGCCCTCCAGCCCCTGGAGGCTCCAGTAACCTGCGATGACACCGGAGGTGTACAGCTTGTTAAAATGCTGCGATGTGCGCCTGGAGAAAGACAGATGATTCCTAGAGCCTCGTAAATTCGAGAAATGCTGATACCTCTTGGAGGTGCGAAGATGTCCGTGGCAGGCTGAGAAGCTATGCGTGTGGATAGCTGCCCCATCTACACCGAAGAACTCGCAAGTGCCCGCAATGCAGCAAGAATGACAACAGCACGTGCATGTCACCCAGCTTGGGCCTTGCGGTTGCCATCACGGCGACCTACCTCTGAGCTACAAAAAATTGAGCAGACACTCGACCTTTGCTCATGGCTACAAATCACCGTAACACCATCATGCCAAACACGTTTGTAGCTTCTGGATCCCTTCCCGTAGCTGCTGAGCCCCACAGGCAGAATGCTGACTTTGCACAGTGCAAGAACGGGTGCAAGACCTTCACGTGAAAGGGCAGCCCTGGCTGGCTAACGCATCCCAACCCTACCACCCGAAGCACCCGGCTCCGGTGAGGCAGTACATTTTTTCTACATGGGCAGAGAAAGTATCCTGAAACCCGCTGCCACTGGCTGTGGAGCGTCCGAGGCCTGACTCAGACAGCTTATGTTTGAAGCAGCTGTTCAACACAAGATGCTCACAACAATCGCTGAGACTTTCAATTCAGCAGCAGTCTTGACGTTCCTCAGATACTGTGAGGCCAAATCACAAACCCTCGATGCAGACATATGACTCTCGTGAGCAGCTGTCCTGGCACGCCCAGCTTTGTGCGCTCCAGATGTTGCCCCATTCCTCTTTCAAGGCCCTGCAGCATGGAGCACTGGCACGACGAGTGGTCTGAATAACTACCACGAACTGACTTCAAAAGATACATGCCACCGTCATCACACGCCAGCATCCCCACGCAAGCAGGCAGTCAAGTTTGTCAACGCCTGGCTTTGGCCTTCGCAGACAGTTCGAGTGCTCCCTGCCAATTCCTGGATGCGAGAGCATCCGATGTCAACGGCCGTCAAAGTGAAGTCGCTTAGCGACAGCTCTCACGAGCAGAAAACACGTGCGGCGCTTAACCCTTGGACCTGCCAAGGCCGCATGCACGTACAGCGCATCCCAGAGCAGCCAGCTGCTCGCTGGGTGCACCTCCATTGTTTCTAGCATGGCGTGGGTCATCGAATGGTACCCGAGGAAAGGGACTGCCCGTTCGAAGGCTACACACTGTTCTGCCTATGGACATTTGTGAGGGCTTAGTTCTTGCTCAACCCTTCCACCCGGCATGAACCTTGCAAATCCAACAGTGCCAGGCATGGTTCCCAAGCTGCTGCTCGGATGGCTGCAAGCATGGCCTGCAGCATGGTTCGACAAGGCTCGTCCTTCGGAGCTTTCGCTCACCATGCCACGAAGCACATCCTGCTAGCTCCCTTTGCCTAGTGCATTAGCATAGCTCCAAAACTTCGACGCAAAGCCGGGAGCCGGGCTGTACTTCTGGCCTCGCGGACCCATGGAGATAGGGCCTGAGACACAACAACACGGTGTTGACCGCAGCACGAGAATTGGCCGTCCGCCTTGGCGTTTGCAGGCTCTGCGACAGCTTGGTTCACCTTCAGGCGTTGTCGAGCTACGCATCCCAATACTGCATCGTTGTCTGAGCCCGTTGTTGCCTTCACGCTCGGGCCCGACAATCAAAATTCGGCATGTGCAGTCTGAATTGGAGCATACAATACAGCCTTGTAGCGGTACTGTAGTCCGGCAAGCATTAATAATCCCACTGCGGAACTGAAGAGAATGGCAATCTGCTACATCTTCAACACACCCGACTTAGTTACAGGATGAAGCACATGCAGAGCCCTGTTGTACAGCAGCCGCAAAAGGCTGCAGGAATCTTGTTTCGGCGCCTTCTCGAGAAGTAGCAGGGCCTGTTGCCAGGCACCGCTTTCGGCACAGGCGCCCAGGCCGGCGCCGACGACCTCGGACCAGAACCGAGTCTGTAAGCTTGTGCATTGCAATCCAGTGCCAAGTTGCTGAAACGGTCTCTTCGGGCAGCCAGTCTTCAGACCTTGATAGAGCTTCGAGACAAGTTCCCATCTGCAGAGCGAGTTTCCACCGAGATTCCCGGCTTGCCCTCATCGCAGGCGTCACGAAGAAGACTCAGCGAGAGATCCTCAGCTGTGGCAAACACTTCCGGAATTGGCGCAAGATCATTGCAGCGCCAACTGTTCAACACACTCATGACACGGCGACGTCCAGATCAAGATTCGCCAAAGTGAAAAGCACAGTACGGGAATTGAGTGGCACGAACATGCAGCCACAGGCCTGCCCAATTCCACATATGCATTAGCACATCAATCTTTAGAACGATCAATTCCACGGCTTTCGACACTTCGCTCGTCTTTCCTGCTTTGTGTCCGAAGCATTCGCCGAGCGTGAAATGCAGACACGACTTTTGCGACGCTGCGCAGAAATGCATGTACCGAGATCCTTCACGCAGGCAGGAAAAATTCTGAGCCTAGTTGAAAATGAAGCAGTCTTCACTCCCAACCGTCTGATTCCAATCCATGTACTTTGCCTTGCAAGTATCCCTCCAACTCCCATTCACCAGCAGCCACGCCCCCCCCCCACCCCCGAAGATGCCTCCAGTAACTTACACGCCCGACACAGGTGCTGGCTGGGATTTTGGTTTGGAGCTTGGCAAGAACATGCCAGAAGCGACAAGACCCGGCAAGACCCGGCAAGAATCTCCACGACCCTCCATACGAAGCATCCCGACACATCCATCCGAATCCGCTCTTAACGGGCTTCCTTATCGTTCCAGTGAACTGGAAAACGGGAACAATTGGTCTAGTTGAGCCTGACGCAACGTAACAATAGAATGGTACCCTAAACCCAAAACAGCAAAGCCCTAAACCTTAAAACCCCAAAGCCCTCAGCCCTAAAACCCTAAACCCTAAAACCCTAATAAACCCAAAAAACATCCCTAAATCCTCAGACCCTAAGCCCTGAACCTTAAGCCCCTAGCCCTTGAGACCCTATGCCGCGCACCCTCTCTCCCTAAACCGTAGACCCTAGACCCGAGCGTCACAAGGGGCGCCCTGAAGTGGCACAAGTGGAAAGAGGTGCCGCCCACCCCTGAACAGTCCTAGCCTGAGCCGCTTTTCAAGTGTAATCAAGCGGTCAAATGACTCAAGTGGCACGACTCAGCGGTTCCCGATTCCCAGTTCAATGCAGCATTTGTGGAAGCAATGCAGGTAAGCAGGTGCAAGCTTTGCTTTCTTTGTGTTTGCATGCAATTCAAAGCTTGTGCCGAGAGCCTGGCCCACTTGCCAGCCTCGCAGGAAGTTTCCACTGAACCGGAGCTTCAGAGCATGTCTGAAGGAAGTGACTTGCGTCCGAATCCAGGTGGCTTTGCCACAGACTGTCACATGCTGGATGGAGAATCGGTCAGTAGATAATTGCTGAGCTTGCAGACCTTGTTGCACGCAAGCATAGTTGAGCTGATCCTCAGGATCGTGTTGCACAGGCACATTGCAAGTCGGTGCCACGTGCACGTGCTACCAGTAGTTTCCTCGAGTTCTCACATCTCGGCCTTCGGGATGCAAAAAGTGGAGCTTGCCAGCTTGCCCCGCGCCCTTGTGTTGCTGTCTTTTTCGTTGGCAGTTGCTGCGGTTCCATCCAGGAACACCGGCCACATGGTGCCAGTTTCCAGGGCAGCGCATGCAACCCAACAGTGCTACAGTACAAGCTCCATCGCCTTCTGCGTGCAACAACCGCCCTTGTGGTCGGCTTGCCGCTGAAAACTCCAACTGTTGGAGCGCGATGAACTCAACCACGCCGGCCCGTGAGGAAAACCATGCAAGACCTGTACAAGCTTGTCCTGAGAAAAGGAAGCGTGCTCAAGCTGGGCATCAGGCTCACTAGCTTCAAAGAGCATGATCCTAACAAGTACCCCGACGCGCTTCAAGTATGACGAAAGGCTTGATCGCCCAGTACACCACGCTGAGCGCAATGAAGAAGGTCCGAGACACGAGGCCACGGCCTACTCCATGCGGAAAATACTCTTTCAAGCTCGTCCTACGTAGGCCGGCAGCCTTTTCTCGCGAATCCACACCTCAAGGACAGACTCCACAAGGTCCAGCAAGCCAGCTCCAGAAAGACGAAACGAGTTAAGCTTCACCAAGACACATTGACGGCATACTTGGGGAAATCGCAGAGAAGCGGCCTTTCTCTCTCAAATAGATTCCTGTTTTCCGTGATCTCTCTCTCTCTCTCTCCGGTGTTTTACAAGCTCTGGAATTTGCACCGCCAAGCCACAGGGCTCGATGTTCGACCAGGTTCTGCGGCCGGCCCTCCGCGTCCACCTCTCTGAGGCTCGCTCCGCGGTGCAAGCGGCGCCCTTGCTGCGACCAAGACACATTCGGCCAGACGAGAGCAGCGCCTGCCTGGGGCCGCACGGAGACTCCGAGCCTGCTCGGCCGGCGGTCAGGCGGCCAGGGCGCAGACGAGTTAGCAGCGGGGAACAACGCATGCCCGGGCCTCTCGAAGGAGGTCTCGCCTCCGCAGCCATCTGGCAAGCTGTTGAGGTAGATCCTTGGTGCCCGCCGGACCGCGGCATGGTCAAAGCTTCGATGCCCATTGTACTCTGTCCAGGGCACAGTGCCGTTGCTGTGCGCTGACCGCCCAGCCACAACGAGGCATCCTGCAATGGAAACAAAGCACTTCCTCATCAAATCCTACACCACTTCGACTGCTCATGACAGTTTATGCTGTCCTGCTGACGACCCCAGTCTACATGGGTGCCTGAAACACAGGGGGGCACGCCGCTGAGTCGAGAACATCGTCCCTTCTCTCCGTTTTGCCAAAGGGGCTGTACTGCTCGCCCTTCCGGTATCGCACCAGCTGCAGTGCCTCTACGAAGTCCTCTGCAGAGATCCTACTGAGCGATATCGAGCGGCCCCATGCTACGATACTAGCATATCCAGTTTTAGCTACAGTAGCAGCTACAGCGAAAGCATGTCAGCATGTGGCATGGTCATGCCCCAAAATTGCCAAGCTCCTCTGGCACTTGCAGCGCCTTTGAGGCCCAGCTGCGCACCGCCTCTAGATAACGCCGGATCATGCAGACATTGCTAATTGCCACAGGCAGTGGCGGCCAGTAGAAGCTGGAATCGCACGCAGACCGAAAGACGGAATGACCCTGAAGGTGCGGCCCCGCCTGCACAGCAGGATTTCCAAACATGCTGGGGGAGCTGAGGACCGCCTTTGTCGAACAGAGGGCATGTAAGCCTCTGCTCCAGCTTTGCGCAGTAGAAACACCCTCAAAGGCCACACCAAGCTGCCGAAGAGGAAGTCCGGAGAGCATCCTGGGTCCGATCGGGCTGTGCAAACTGATGCCTGCGGCCTACGCATTCACCCCAGTCGCAGCTGCACCGGTCCTCTCCCTGAGCATCTCGGGCAGCACGACGACTCGACTGGGACCAAAGCTGTGCATCATCGGCAATGCGAATCAATTCCTGGCGACGCTTGATGAGCCCCTGAGATTTGGAATCCCTTTTAAAAGAAAGCTTATAAGCATCTACGAAACAGATTCGAGACGTGACCGCTGCTGCCTGTCCCTGCTCCTCGACCAGCACATCTGGCACCAGACGGATGGGCACCTAAACAAGACACATTCCCTTCCGCTTGTAACATCGTTGCCGCATCGTTGCACTGTCAGACTGTCCATGAGAGTCCCTCCCTATGTGCCCTGGCACTGGGTCGGCAAGCAACACCTGTCCAGGCAGAGCTTGAATTGCCTCCAAGTAAAGCGGAGAGAGTCAAAGGCGACACTTCAAGCACGAGCTGCTGCAAAGATATCGCCGTGCCTCTATCATCTTTGCGGACGCTTCCCTGAAGTAGCAGAGAGGCTGAATCTTTGTGAATCTTTGGTGACGGTGGATGAAGCAGACAAGGCTCGGAGCTGCGACCTCGCTGGCATCTCCAAATAGGTTTCTCCTGACAGGAACATGTGCTGACATGGCCCGGGACGAAAGCGACCAGAAACAGAATCGCACTTGCGGAAGCATGTGAAACATGATGAAACCAAATGGCGACATCTTGAATCAGGAATTTTGGTCAACACGAAGAAGGACGCGAACGAGGGGGCTGGCAGCAAATGGAAAACTTCGAGAGTTGCTGTAGATGCAGCAAAGTACCAGGTTCTGAGCCGTAAATTTGAGCTGTGTTGGCAGGATTGGTCTCGTGTTCGGCCTTCAAGGCGCGATACTCGAATGTTGCTCTGCGCAGCTGCCTCCCTCCATGGTGGCAAAGTACAACATGAAAACTACAGCTTCGTTCTCATGCGAAACAGCGGGCCATACTTTACAAAACAGACGAACAGGTTCGATGCCCATCGCTCTCCCTCCGGAAAATGTTGTGAGCATGATCAAATACTGCACCAGAGCCCGGACTCGTGAAGAAGACCGAACATTCCCTGCAGCTGGGGTGCGCGTGCTGGTTCACTTCTGCACATGACCTCGATCGTGTGGACACAAAGCCACAAGATCTCCTTCTTACCTATGTGTTTTAGCAACGACTGATTCCACGACCTCGGCCTGAGCTTATCATATCGGGAGAAGCTGTCTCCGTCTTGGCAAGCATGGTCATGCCGTTAAGCTGGTAGTTGGCTCAGGCTACAGTGTTACATGGCAGCCAAATAATCCAGAGCACCAAGCGAATGTCACTCGCTCATCTGCGGAAAGTTGTCCAATTTTACCTGAGGTTCCCAACGAGCAGGCAAGAGGGCACTCGGCATCGAGACTGAAAAGGGACAGCCTGCCATCGCTGCCTTCAAGGAATCCCACAAATCCTGCCTGCAGAGTGCAACCATGTGCCCTGTACCAGACACAGAGAGCCCAATACCCCTTAATTAAGGAATATACCTATACTATAGGGACCTTGTTATTATGATTTAACTAAGGGGTATTGGGCTCTCTGGGGATGCAGCTCTGCACGCCTGGGCTCACGTGCTGTCGCGAAGGCCCAGGCAAAGGCCGTCAGCTGCCTCGCTGAAGCACCACGGCACTCCTCGCCAGAGATCCCCTCTGTGCTTGCTGTCTGTGTCTTACACCTGCATGGCAGCCGCAAGTGAAATTTATGAGTGGAACTTGGGTGGACAATGCATGCTCTCAGCTGCGAATGCAAGCCTGTGCCACCGCATCTGCCATCAGTTGCCAAGCTGGGTCATGAGGCAGCCTGCCACTGCTGTAAGGCTGGACCACCCCGTTGCAATGCAATCCCTGCCTTGCTGTGGCCATGGCTCCAACTAAAGCCGCCAAGGCCTCAGCCATTCTCTGACCATGTGCGATGCCATGCCAGCAAGTGACTCGAGGGCCTCGACATCACTGCCAATGTCCTGAAATACATTGTGCATCTTCATGATGTGTCCACATCAGCAAGCATGGCAACACAGCCAGAATGCACGAATATGACGTCGGTATAAGTCTGCACACTAACTTGAAGTCAAGGATCGGGAATGATTCCTGCCAGTGCCTTGTCCAGTATCGGTTCCCGCATGGCCGCGGCGCTCTGTCCAGCAGGAACAAAAATGAAGACGTTCACGGCTGTGCCCCCCAGTCCCCAAGACTGTATAAGCTAATTTGAGGAAAAGTAGTGCAGATTCGGGCAGCGCGTGCCAGCACAGAAGCACAGCCAAGTCAATGAACGACAAACTGAGCTCGGTTTCTGTGCAGCGAGCCTTGGGGACAAAGGAAAGAAAGATCTCTGTAAGCAGTGGTTGGTTGATCTCCGGCGAGAGAAAATTTCGACCACAAAGCTCTGTCCTCAAGACTGCAGACTTATGCGAAGTCAACAAGCTGTGCAGGGCGATTTCGGTCCTGAAAAGGCTCACCGCCTCTTTGGCTTGCGCCACCCGCTCCTGCAAAGATAGCTCGGCCAATTCGCTCAGAAGAACACCGTTTTCGGTGGAGGGCGCCTTTGCGGCCTCCAGCTTTGCGGCTAAGTCGGAATCGACAGTCCCGGTGCCAGACTGACACCTTGTTCCATTCATGGCCAAGCAAGGGCTTCTGGAAGGACAGCTCAGAGCATGTCCATGGCAGCAGCCGGCCTAGTTAAAACTCCACGACATGGCCGTGGCCTTCCGCAGCAATGACGAAAAGACACGCATGCACCCTCTCGCACAGTAGCCTAGCTTTCTCTCAACGTGACTAGAACAGAACTCATAGAACTGCTCAGCACACGGCGAGACAGGAGGCTGCGCGAAGTCAGCCTCTGGATGCCTGCTTTTGTCTGCAGTGGCAGCGAATCGGTGTCCGTCGTATCATTGATCTCCATTGCAACTACCGACTACCTACTTACGCTTTCTCCGAACATAGCTTAATATTATCAATATGGACCTGGATAGCTCCGGACCGCAAATCTGCACCGGAGTCACAGACACTCTCCTGCCTGGATCGCCTGTTCAACACCAGTGCAGAAACGGCAGCGATAGTACATGCCCAGCATCTCCACCTTTGCGCACTACAATTTAACGGAGAAATCTGTATGACCTCGAGACAGACGAGGTCCATGGGTCCAATACTAAGATCCCTACCTCCGACCCTGACCACAGCTCTGCCGCGTCATGCCGAATCCATGTGGAATAAATGCAAGCACTGCAAATGAGCATCTTGATTGGAATGCTGGCAGCTGATGCTTCAAGATGAGCTCGGCATCTTCAGTTCTTCCACAGGGCTCCAATTCTAAAGTGTGCAGAACTTCGGGATGTTAAGGACCGATGGCTCCACTTTCACCGACTTGTGCCAAGAGCTGAAATCCAATGAGTCAAGCCGGTCAAGCAAATGAGTTTCACAACGCTGAATGGTGCAGCATGACGAAGGCCGTGACGCCACAGCGTCCGGAGAGCCTGAAGATGCCTCAAGACTGCGATTTTCTAAGGTCGAGCGAAGAAGAGCCATTTTGGCCAGATTACTGATTCCGGGACAAGCGACCAGGATTGCCAACGCTCGCTGCCACTCAAAGCTACGTTCGCCTCAGCGCTCAGGGCAAGGCCAGGACGGACATCCGGACATCCCAGGCTCCGCGCAAGCGCTGATCACAGCACTGAGAAGCACAATGTCCGGACTGGTGCCGGCCTGAGCGAGCTCGACTTCAGCGCAACGCGGCTTGCAAGCTGCTCGATTGCTGCAGGCAGGAATTCCGAGCTTGAGCCTGCCTCTTCAAGCTCCCGCAGCAAATCCAAGCAGCACTCCCACTTCTGGCCCTGTGCTCGTTTGGCCGACCCGACTCCGCTTACACACTCTCACTGGCTCTCAATCTTGCTTTGAGATGCTTTGAGCAACCACGTGCAGTGCAACCGAGCTGGCCCAATCGAGCCCGACATGGTCTTCGAGGCTTCTCACACCCCAAGCAAAGCTTCGGCTCGTGTCCTTCGCACAGGCGCTTGCTGCGGATGCGTAGTTGATGAGATTGGGCCTCGACTGGACATGCCATGCTCACCGTGAAGTCGAAGCGAGTCACAGAGGCTCCAGCTCACGTCCCGCAGCCCGCCTCGACGCCTCCGAAACTTTCTGTCTCTCGGAAAACTGCGCATCTCTCGATTCGACGACCTTTCGAAGCAGATCCAGAGCTTCAGCCCACAGCCCTGCAAACCTGAAACTTCACGCGCGACTGTCACATGAATGCTTTCTGTCTTGCGTCTCAATGCTTTGGTTGGGCAGGCAGCTCAAGTATCCGAAGCATCGCGCCAATCACAACCTCGTTTGCCTCAGGTCATGCCCAAGGCTTTGGAGTTCAACATGATGCAAGAGGCTGACCTGCCTCGCGGCGGTCCCGCGCATCTGCTAGCAAAGCCCGTGCTGCATTGAGTGCCGCAGCCTTTCCACGGCAGGCCACAGGCCCTTTGGGGCTCTTCCGAAGCGACTGGAAGATAAGGCCAAGTCCTCGTCCTCGCTTGCCCAAGCTCTGCAGCTGCCAAGCAATGCCGAGTACGTATACCTAACGAGGCACTAAGTACGGCGAGAGCAGAACTCGAAATCCGGAAGGAAGTCCAGAGATTGCGGCGAGTCGGGTGCCACGCCCCGGCTACGCATTTCGGCCAGCACGCAAAACGCTTGCTGCCAACCTCGGACGACAAGATTGAGAAAGCTTACCAAGCCGTCTCAGAGAAAATCTCAGAACCTCTCTGCCTGCAGTCTCCAACACAGCCATGGCCTTGGTGATTTTGCCGAATCTCGATATGGCACAACATGGGGCAGGATCAGACCAACAGAGCGTGCGGCCGCACTAAAGCCGACAACGTCCGCAGAAGATGAGTCGTCAAGCTCGCCGAGGAGCCTCAGCTCACCGAAATCACGAGAGCCTGCCTTGCCTCACTAGTTCTCGCTGTTGCAGCTCGGACGAGATGTTTGAAGGTCACCGGGACCGTCGAACTCCAGAGTCTTCCATGCCCCCGAACTTGCCTAGGCCTAGACTTGCTGTCCAGTTTGACGGGCGATTCCAGTATTGGGATTCAAATCTTAGGGCTTCGAACACAGTTAAAACGTGTAGTCGTATGAGCCCGATGATGCGCAGCTTGATTTTAGGAGTGTGTCGGAATTACTAGGCTATGATAAACTGCCGTCATGTCCACTGATACGCAACTCTGTGGCACGATGCGAGTTCAAAACAAGCCCTATCGGCCCTATCGTTGCTTCCCATCCTGTGCAGGCCTGAGCTGATGGCAGTAGCGCTTCTTGCCAACGTCCACCGGACTGGCATGGAGTCGGACAGAGCCATGAAAAGTGGAGCGTGGCAAAACAAAAAAAAAAAGAGGCCAATGCAGCCTTTGCAGGTGCGAAAGAAGCCACCACTGGCATGGGTGTTTAACCCAACGCGTCACATGGGCCCCGCATGACCCCGCCCACCCGCAGTGCAGACAGCGCAGCCCGCAGAGCGCCACTTTGTGGCTCCAGGCCCTGGCCGCGGAAGCGGCCAAGGAGCGACCAAGCCGCCTGTGAGCGGATTGAGTCTCACAGGCGCGGCTGCACGTGGCGTTGCTGGGTAGCAATGACTTCCTCCCGGCCTGCCAAAGCCTATGCGATGCAAGGCTATCAGCTGTCTCGGTCACCTTCTCAGCTCTCTCTTGTTGCTAATGAGGCTGCGGCCCCACTCGCTCACAAGCGGAAAGAACAGATCCCAAGGAGGTGGAGTCGGCGACCGGGCCTTGCCGCAAAAGCCCAAACGCTCGTCCAAGGGGCCAGCAAACTCGGCGATTTACTTGCCTGATCCAGCCAAAAGCTCCTCGAAAAGCAGCATTGCCTCGACTGTTCCGAAAGGGTGGCCCTTGAACTTAGGGTGGATCTGCAGAACATTCGCACCCTTGTTGCAAAGTAAGATTCATCGGACTTTGTTGCAACTTGGCATGCAATGCACTACGCTGGCCATGTAGGGAACGCTGAAACATGTATGCGTGATGGGTAAAGCTTGCATCTCCATCCATCTGCTCCATCTGAATCTGCAGATTTACACCTCCGTGAAGTCAAGGCTGCCGACTTAGCTGTGCTTCAACACACTATGTCCCACCGCCTCATCATCTCAGCTCCATCTCAGCCATTGATCGAGACAGTATTTTGCAGCACGAAGTAACCGAATGCAGCTCAGACGGCTAACTATGGCTGGGTTTCAGCCGCATCGACAACAGAGAGAAGACCATGGGCGACATTCAGAGCGAACCACCCAGAACGCTCGTGCTCTGTCAAGCCCTTTGCCGGCACTCTGAACATGGCCACAGGTCTCTCAATCTGCAGTTGGCTCCGCACTCTTGCGAATTGAATTAGGTTCATGACGCTATTGTGCTGTTTCCGATGTCTACAAACGGATGCACTAACGACGCTCAACGGTAAAATTCCACCGAGACAGAATCCAATCGTGCATACCTCCGGATTAGAGGTTGCATCACACAAATGGCCTTTTGACGGAAGCTTGTGCTACCTGCGCTCGGTAAGCAGTCTAACAACGTTTCAACCAACAACTCTCCGGACAGTCAAAAGCAGTCCTATTCCGTACTGCTTCGCTTCTACTCTCGCGACCCATGCCTCGAGGCTTTGCCATGAGGTGCTTGGATGCCTCGACATGGTGCTCTCATGCTTCAGAGGCAGACGCCCATACTGCAGATTCTTAGAGATGAGCGCCAACGTGCCAACGACAACTTGACAGATTTTCAGAATCGGCATAGTGGCCCTGCAACAAACAGGCAGCAGGCACCCTCCAGGTCCACCTGCACACATGCTACACGCAGAATGTTCCAATGTCAATCAAGCCAAGTTCATTTGCTAGTGACTGGAGCACAGCTACTGCAACCAGCCTCTAAATAGCCAGGCGACTGCTCCGCCTTAAGGTTCTGCATTTCTTCATCATCCTGCGCAAACACTCTCACGCACTCTGTTTCTCTTGACGCCTTAAGGCCTTAAGGTTTATTGTCGCGAATAGCCATGCTGCAAAAACGCTGGAACTCAGCACGAGTCTTGCATGCATGCACACATGCTTTTCCTCACCGACTCCCATCCTAGCCCTGCCGGCGCGTTCGCAAGCTAGCGATGCCAATGAATTTTCCGGCCTCGTTCGTCGCCCCTATTCTTTGGCCATCGAGATCTTTCGCTGGCGCGGCGGCGGTGGGCGGTGCTAAGTTGTCCTGCCACAAGGCTCCACCCCGAGCTGCCAAGGCATGTGGGGTGCACTTCTTGCAACATACCAGAATTTGAGGACTGACCCGGATAGTCCACTCGCCCAGGACTAAACAAACATAGTGATCAAAATTGTCTTCAAACATCGGCATAGCAGTAAACTCAACTGGCAATCGGAAGTCTCTAAGACAGGTCTGCCCTGCACAGCAGGACTTTTCCTGTGCCCTATAACTATAGAAGATGTATGGAACTTGATGCACAGGATGAAGCGACGAGGAATTTTTCCCACCACAGCTCGGGATTTTGCCTTTCGGCATCAAAGACCTTGCAGGCATGCCTGGAAGTGCCGGAAGACGCCGTAAGCGATTCCAGACGCTTCGAAATTGGCCTGCAGTACTACCCCTGAGAACTTAGAGTCCACACTCCGTGCGGGACTTGGGGCGACTCGCTCTCGTGGGGCTTTTTTGCCGCTTTCAGCCAAGGAGCCGGTGCCTTGCTAACAACACCTCGGCTTGAAGAAGGGCTCGGCTGCGGATCTGCTCGGACATGCTAGGGAATACTTGTACTGTTCTGCAGCTGAGCATCCGTAGCATTGGATGCCCGTGATAGCAACTGAATAGCCGACCCTAGGCATAAACAGAATTGTCGCAAAGACGCAGCCATTGTGGTTGTGCTGCCGAAGTCACACTTGCAGAACATTTACGTTGCTTCCCATAACGACCACCTTGGCTGTGTGTCTGCTGCCAATCAATACTAGTATGAGAGTCATACTTGGCAGAAGACAGAGCCCATGATGATGGAGATGTCCTGCAGACTTCTGGTGCCCAAGTGAGAGAGCGCGAAAGACACTCTTCTTTCGACGCATGTCTCAAAATACGCTCCGTCCTTCACGACCCCAGCAAGCGCATAAATCAAACCGGATGCCAGCTGAATGGCGATGTAGATCGCGATATTGAGGAAAAACGCCTGAACTCCAAAGCACGCCATCATGTGAAGAGTCTGTGCTCACTGCAACCTCTCCATGTCTAGTCATGTAAGGCTCTCCAAAACTGAGCATGAGACGACGAGAGCGTTTGCCACAAGGACTAGCTCTCCTATATTGTGCATCACCTCGCAAACGGAGTGTCTTTGCAGAATCAAACGACCTTGAGACCCTGGAGTTGACGGAAAGGCAGCCGAGGCTCCTCAAAGGAGATTCCGTCTAAGTCCTTGGGCAACTGCCCCCTCCCTTGAAGCAAGTAGAGACATGTAGAGACTCTGGCGATGGTCAAAGGCAATCTCTAGAGGATAGACCATGTCTCCTTGCCTTATTTTGGCCCATGTAGCACAGATGCTGCCAAGTATCCGTCACAACGCCGATAACCCTAGGCGGCAAGACTGACTTGGATTGAGAGTATCCGGCAAGGCAGCTTTACACGGAGTGCGGCAAATCGCTGTATCGACTCAGGGCTTCAGATGACCGAGATTCCCCCCCCCTCCCTACACCAACCTCTCAGAAACAGAAGATTAGCGAGAGCGGCAACAGAATCGCCGAGGCGATCGGTGCGAAGATCAAGATGGAGCTCAACGGGTTCAGCTTGTAGCCGGCCCTGAATTGTGCAAGGGCTGCACAAGGCTGGACCGTGGCTTCACACAGTGTGAGAAACGAGGCAAATCAAAAAGCAACTTGCCGGTTTCTCTCTAGCTCTAGTTCCTCTCTTCACTCGCATTCTTGCAGTTCTTTTTCTGCCAGCACAGGTGTCATGCAAGCAGCCGGCAGAATTCTGGAGCCAAGACGACAATGCCTGCATTGCTTAAAGGCATAAGTACGAGCTGCACTGCCGAGATGTGGGTCCAGCTACAAAAAGAGAGAGACTGTGCTTCGAGCACATGCAAGACGAGCACGGGCCAAGACACCTTCGTGCCAGCGGAGCCCTCACTCCCGTCAAGAGTCGGCAGGTCAAGCAGACCAACGGGAGCAAGAACCCTAGCAAGTGCAATGCACTAGCTTCAAAAGGGGACAAGACCTGGGGCATGAATCTTTAGTGACCCGAATTCAATGCAGTGCAGCACTGTAGCGCTTGCCTTGCGCCTGCAAAGACGAAGTGGAAGCAGCGTCTGAGCCAATGTGGCATACTACAATTTTGACACGAACACACCAAGCTCGCTGTGCTTGCACCTCTTTTTCTGTTGATATGGAGCGGAAGCCTGCCAGCTTGGTTGTAACATAACACTACGAGAGAAGTGCTTTAGCATTGCTCTGGCAGTATGAAGCCACTCTCAGTGCACAAAACAGCACGACATAGCGTGCACCCGATGTGAAAGGCCAGCAGCCACTTCACAAATGAGAGAAAGGCCGAAGAAAAATTAATGGTCAGATCGATGGGTTAGTGGGAACCGTCGCAGTGCCAGTGCCTGTACCCATGTCCTCTGCGACTCTTCCAGGGTGAGAATAATTGTCACATGTTGCAGGCTTTTTTGTCCTGGTCCTTCCCAAAGCACATGTAAGTGTGCTTGTCCTACTCGTGGTGGGCAGAGATCTTCCACACCCGATCCGAGCCTCAAAGTCGAAGTACAGATGGCGCCGCGGTTTCAGGCAAATCCGCCCTAGGTGCGGAGTGCTGCACCGTTCTTTCAGCCCTTTCCACCCCCTGCTTCTTGTGAAAGACGGTGTGGAAGATCATAAAATCCTCTGATGGACAGGGACTCGGAGTATGTCCTCGATTGCGAGCACCTTCCATCTCCAAATCACCGAACTTCAGCGAGCAAACGGGGGAGCACGCCGGGCTCAAAAGAGATCTCGAGGAGCTTCCAGCTCTGAGCATGCGCCCTCTCTTTTCGATTGCCGAGACATCGACCAGCTCGTCGTCTACGGGGAACTGAGACTCTGGGATACCAGGATCTGTCGGCACATCCTCCGATCGCTTCTTGGTCACGGCAGCTCTTCCACACAGAATTGTCGCTAACAGCTGGGCCATTCTGCACGGTGGCAGAGCTTCGAGGATGTTGAGCGGCCTGCTTCTGATCCCGAGTGCATTGCGGCGGATATGAGGTCTCACACAGAAGCGGCGGGGCTGCACCCTGGCAAAGCGACTTCATCACTTGAAGCCCTTACTGATGATAACGGTTTTTTCACTGGGCAGCCGAGTGACGATTTCAGGAGAATCTCAAGCCTCGGACGGCATTCGCTAAGCGGCTGGCTGCTATCCTGGCACACGGTTGTCGACTCTCCCCCGACCGCACCGTAGGGCTCGAGCAGATTTATTCGAAGGCCCTCCGAGAAAAGCGCGGTGACTTGCATCAGAAAGCCGTACCTGCGTGTTCACAAACACGGAAGACACGTGGTGTTGTTCTGCTTGGGCATTCCTCCGGGACAAAACAATGCTGCACCGTGCGGCGGGACATGACCGGGCACTGTACGAACTTAGCTGGGGACTTTCTCCCGTTGACTTCTGAACACCGTCCAGTTCCTTTTTTAAGGTAACCCAGGGTGCCAATCGAACTTGATCTCGCCAACACTTGTGATCATCAGTCCTGATCCATTCCAAGAGCATGTTCGACTCGATTCACATGTCTCTCTGTCACTCAGTGTGCAAGGAAGGCCAGACGGCCGAACAAACTCAGCTTACTACCTACAGTGATGGTCAGAATGGTCTTGGCCACCGGAATAGACCACTTCTGCGTACCGACCTGTGCCCCAGGGTATCATGGTTTCAATTCCATGGCCCAAGCTATCGGAAGTCTGAGTGACAGGCTAAACATCCGACAGCATACACCATCCTGACATCTGCTTGGCGGCTGAGCGATTCAACTCTTCTGCACTTGCCAGCACTGGGCTGATGGGGCCAAGAGACGCCGGAGTCCAGGCTTTGATCATTTGGCAAAAAGAGACAGAGAGATACATTACTGCCTCAGGTTCAGCTGATGGCTGGAAGGCAACGATTCCAAGGCCACAGAACCATGCTGCGTCTTTTGCTGGAAAGCGGCCGTGTTTCCGGCAATTAAGCCCACACACCTCCGGCAGGGAGCAGAAGAGCAAGGGGGGGGGGACTTGCAGGTGCCACGTGTGTGCCACGGAGGCGCTGGGCCGCGGCCACCGGGAAGCCGAGCTTCAGGGCCTCGATCATGGCCAGGGGTGGCCGGCCCTCCTCCCGCTTTTTGCGAAAAGCCAAGACTGCTGTCGCGTATCCATGCGGGTATCCAAACACGGTCTGGATTAGCCTGTATTTCCAAATGGCTTTCACAGCGTGCTAGTAAATCAACGAATGGCGGCTTCAATACGATGGAAAAATTAAGTCGCGGCATGCTGCTCACGTTCATGAACAGGAGGGTCAACCTCCTCTGCTTCAGTATCAGTTCAAAGTTCGGTGGCTGCTGCAGGCTGCGGGCCAAGAAATGCCAAGAAATCCAGCCTGCAGCTGCGCTGAACCGGTGGGCATGATTTCAGCCACGACATTGCGGGAATGCTCGATCCCGGTTTTCCACTCATGACAACTGGTGAGTCTTGCCGAAAACGCAGGCCTGTCCACTGCCCTGGCAACGACTCCGATGTCCGCTGTACACAAACGCGCCGACATCCAGGGTTCTAGATATGGAGAGGCCGCCTCCATGGTTTTCAATGCACCCCGCTTTTTCAGCGCTGAGTCCGCCCCGTCGCCCTGCCCACATCCACTTGCCGACAGTTCCCCGATTGCCTGCATCTTTTACACAATGTTTTACACGGTCACCTGCCCGATGTGTTTCCATCTCGCAGCAACATCGCAGAGGCAGTTGAAATTGCGTTTGTGCTTGCTGCGAGTCAGACCTTTCACACCCGGCAACACTACTGAGTATGTAGAGGATGTGAGCCGTCGAAACTTGCAAGCTCTGCAGGGTTCTACTGCTTGGAATGGTAAAAGAACTCAAAATGCTGCAGTCCCAAACCACATTCCCGTTTGAGAAAAGTCAACCATCAAAATCGCAAGTTGACAAGCAGTGCTCCTTCTCATCGCCTGTGGCGACCAGATCCGGCCGTGCCAGCTTCAGCACGAGTATCAGAACTGTGCTTGCCTGCAGAAGCGTCGTGTTGCAGAGAATGGCACAGCTGCTTCGGATCATGAGACGGCAGGAAGAAAGCAACCGCTCCCGTGAATGTGCTTCGTAGTGCTGCTACCAACTTGCGATGCTGGACGTCACTCGCACAAGCACCCGCGCATCAAGTGTACCCACATTGCTTGAGCCACGGCACTGACATATGCCAGAATGTCAACCACACGGGATGCCTGAATCCTTGCCTGCAGGCAGGCAACGTACTGAGTAAAGCATGCTGACGCCCGTGCCAGTGGCATCTTGAAAATCCACATACAGGGCAGACACCCACAGCCAGGTTAAAAACAACCGAGAATAAGAGCAGCTTGCGAACCGCAATGTCTTTGCTCACAGCTACCGCGAGATGCAGAGAACATTTGTTTCCAGCCGAGTGTCAGGAGCGCAGCATTGAAAATAATCATCGTTGCCTCAGCCACATGTCCGCTATTTTCATGGTTGCTTGCTCTGTTCGCCTTCAGTGCAACGTGGACAATCTGGGGCACCGGCGCTCATTAAGATCCAGAATATCAAGGCCGCCATTATCTGGACAGAGAATATAGCCTTGGCAAGTCAAGCCTTTCTGCGACTCTAATACTTCCGTTACATCTAGGTGCTGCCTGGCTTCTCATTCTGCCCCTTCTTCCCTCATGCATTCATGGAATGTGGCACCATGTGGCAACCCAGTCCTCCAGCTTGCCTCTCGGTTCACTCAGCATCTTCCCACACCGCCCACATCCCGGGCCAGAGCGGACTTTTCTTAACTGCTGGCCATAGCCTTTCACATCCTTTCGTGCAGCACCCACGAGAGAACTGTCTGTTTCTCTTCGGCTTCCACGAGTTTCGGGACAGGCAAACTTCCCCTGCTTCGCGTCTTCTCCTTTTTGGCCACAATGTTTCCTCTTGGTTCTTTCTCGACAGGGATGACAGCACGAAGGGCCGGCAGACTCTGGAGCTCTTTCATATTCCGGGCTTGCATCCAGCTTACGCCAGACTCGCGGCTCTTTAGTTGGAGCCCGGCTTCAGGAACGTGCCCTTCTATCGGTTGCCCTCAATCACAATACAATCCTGCTTCTTGAAGGCAACCAACTGACTGGCGTCATGCATCCCAACACACCCAATGCCGAAGCAGACAAGGAACATCCCCTGTATACTGTATCGGTTTCTCTCACAGACACACACCCCACAAATGCGCACTTCCCAGCAGGAGTGAGGGTGGCAGGTGCTTCTAGATCGTCCACACACTAAGAATGCCAAGTGGCTGCCATTGTTGCAGAGCCGTCGGCCATGTGCCGAGGCACTTTGGGGATGAAATCTAAATTAATCTAAACCCTAAACCCAAACCCTAAAACCCCAAACCCTAAAACCCTAAAGCCCTAAAACTCTAAAACCCTTCACCCTCAAACCCTAAACCCTAAATCGGAGTGGGTGGGTTTGAGAGAGGCCGAAGCAGGCGAATCTCGGAGTTCTGCTTGCAACGGATATCTCAGCGTGCATCAGCCAAGAACCAATCTTTTGTGGTGCAAAGCCCTTAGCTGTTTGGAAACTTGGGGCATTTGGGTCTGAGACTAAAACCATTCAACAGAACCATACATTGGGTATACGAGCCGAAAAGCTTGAGGAGTTACATGCAATCAGCCAAGCTGTATCCTGCGTCGAAGCTGCTGCACTCGCCAGGCGAAGTACTGCAGCTGAGGGCAGGACCCTTTGCCATTCGTCACCACGTGCCAAGCTGCTCAAAACAGTGTTCAGGGAGACCTATGCTCGCATGAACATGGCGGCTCCGGTATAACACGGTGTCGGCAACAGAACACGGCATAGCACGGCAATACCCTTGGAGCTCTGTCGTCAAATTCTGCACGTTTGTTCTGCTTCAGCAATCTGCCAGTGGATGCTTCCAGCTCTTGAGGCGAAGCACTGTGTCTGGCCGAAGGCCTGCAAAAGCTCAGAAACGACTTGTTTGCTTCAATTAGAAGGGATCACAGAGCAGCTCGATCCGCCGGAAATCTAATTTTGTAACACAACCTCGCGCCCTGCCAGTCCTCGCTGGCCCAAGTTTGCCAAGAGCGAGGAGCAAAGTTGCCATTGACTGCTCCGCTCCTCCGCAACCGAGTCCATGCTCTCTGAGATCTACAGTGCAAGGCATCTGCTTGAAGGAACTGGCTTTTACTGTTTAGCTCATCTCGCGCCAGGAGGCGATTGAAAACAAGACGGATGCCACCACCGAGCTGAGACTGCCACACAAGCCGAGATCGCCGTGTTGAAGCTCACCAGATCCGCTTCACCTGCCCCGACAGACATGGATTCCACTGGACCCATGTGATTCCTTGAGGGCGCCAGGAAGCGGGGCTCAAAGAGTGCTCTGACAATGAAACTCGATGATGGCTTGTTGATGCATCCGTGCCTTCGGGTCCTTGCTGGCATAGATTCGACAACCTCACTGCTACGCAAGAGCACTGGAAAGGCTACCTCTCCACCGGGTACATCATGCGTGCCATGAAAGACCTCCGAGAATCCCATCAGACTCCGTATGACTCCGTGCTTGAAGTCTCGAGGCACATAAAGCAAAAAGAAGTCAGCGCCAGACAGTTGCAGAGCCGCTTGCCAGGAACGACTCCTCTAGAGGCAGGTAGGTTGCACAGGATACCCATCAAGGCTGTCCAAGCACAGTGCTGTAGGGTGCCTGGCACAAGCTCTCAGGACAGTGTTGTAGCTGACGATGTTGGGCGAAATCTGCAACCACCTGCTTGGGTCAGCACGGAGGGCAAATGAAGGCGCCAAACTTCCTCCCTTCCTCCCAGCCTGCTTCCAGACATCTCCGACAGCAGCCAGGAGGCCTCCCTCCAGCAGGCCGAGGACGCGAGGGCATCTGTTCAAGAAAGACATGAGCCATTCGGGGCTGTTTTTTGGGGACCGTTTCTCTGAGGGCCTGGCTTAACGCGCTGTTAAATGTCACCAAGTCTGGTTCTGGCAGCCCAGACCTCTCCAGCGGACGGATTACCCCAAACCAAACCACCCACTTCTCATTTTTTCACTTTGCACTTTGCATTTCCCGAAAGCATCGCGAACGGCTCTTCCGTGCAGAGCCCTTCAGAGAAGTACATAGGATCAAGTACATAGGATCAAGTACACGGAGGATCAGGTACACGGAGTTAATCATCGATTGAAGTGCATAGTATCGATTGAAGTGCATAGTATCGAGCGCATGTACACCGGTGTATAGTACACAGAGTGAAGTAGATCGGCGTGAAGTACATCGAGTGAAGTGCATCGAGTCAAGTGCATACAAGTGCATAGTATACAGAGTGAAGTGCATAGTACACAGGGGAAGTAGATCAGAATGAAGTAAGTGCATCGAGTCAAGTGCATAGTACACAGAGTACATCACAGGAGTACCCGACTTATCTACATCTCGGTGTATTATCTTTCTTTCTAAAGCCGGAGCCAGCAGCGCGCCATCGATCGGGAATGAAACCCTTACCATGGATTGGCGTGGTCGAGCGCGCGAACGCGAGGTAAAGTTGCAACTTTTATACGTCTCGCGCAACCCTTACCATGGATTGGCGTGGTCGAACGCGAGGTAAAGTTGCAACTTTTTTCTGACTATTCGGCGTCCCGCGCAACCCTTACCGTGGATTGGCGTGGTCGAATGCGCGAACCCGAGGTAAAGTTGCAACTTTTTTCTGAGTATTCGGCGTCTCGCGCAACCCTTACCATGGATTGGCGTGGTCGAGCGACCGAACGCGAGGTAAAGTTGCAATT